ATAGCAATTATTAGTTAATAAAATGTTTGTAATACGGCGAAAATTACAATAATTTTTAATTAAAAAATCTGTAACTATTTGTTTTATTTGCAGTTTTACTGAATTAATATACATTTAAGTGAATTTATTTATAGCAGATATATTTATACAAAGTTTAAAAGGTCATTTAACAATGTGAACGCTATTCCACCTTTCAAAATACGTTGCGCATATATACATTAACATGGCAGCCAAGTACTAAAAAGCAATTATATCTCTTATGACTTTATCTTCTGCACAGAAAGTTCACATTTGCCATTGATAATATAAATTACATCTATATAATTTATCAGCAATTATTGCTTTATATATAATTTATATACTTGCTTATAGTAATTACTTTTCACTGCAACAATAAAATATATTGGCTGATTTAGATACAAGTATTTCACAGATATTTAAGGTACTTGCTGTTATTTTTGAAGCTTCATTTTATGAAGCAAAACATATAAAAAGCAAGTAACTATTATGCAAGCTTCATTATTATCAATTTTTTTTAACTGTGCACAAAAAATATTGCAATTTAACCATGGAATAATTAAATGGTATCAAATGTAGAAAATACATTCATGTACATAGTTGTCTTCTTCAACAATATATACTTAATTTCAGCTATCAGTTTTTTATAAAATTTGTTTTTACAAATATTTTGATACCACCTTATGATGCCCATGCTTGTAATTCTTTCAAATCTTCATCATCTGCAGGCTTGGCTTCTATGAAATCGTAAAAATTTTTATTTAATAATAGATTATTATTACGGTACAGCATCCGTAGCATTAAAATTATTACTTGCGGGAGTCCTAGGTGGTGCAGATGGAAGAGCAGTAGCTGGGACATTTGGAAGTTCATCAGTAGATTCAATGCCAAGCAACTCTTTATCCAGTTGTTCTTGTTCAAGCTCTTCCAATTCTTTCTCTAATTCTTCCTCATCTACATCATTTCCAAATGCAATAGGATTAGAGATGGCATCAGAAATTTCTCTAGCTACATCTTGTTGCTCAGCTATGTCATCCATCATATCATGTACTTGATCAACATCCCTAAACAAAAAGACAAAAATATTTTAATAAGTTACTCATTTGAATCTGCATTACCAATGCAATGACTTTATCATAGACCTAAGTTCCTTACATATGTTGATGGACAGATTTTAATGCATCTGCAGCATTTTTCATATTAGTAAGTACAGCTGTATTGGTATTTGCACATTCGAGCACTTCTCTTTGACTTTCAATTGTAGTCAGTGTGCCATCAATTTGTTGTAATTGTTTCTCATATCGCTTCTTTCTTTTAAGAGCTTGAATTGCAGCTGTAAACGCCGATTTTTTAATTAATATTATAAGAGCAGCAGATTAGACAATAAGAATAATTTATATGATCTGATGGTAACTTATAATTTAAAGAGGTATGTCTATAATTTAGTAAGCTTATAACAAAATTATTTCTTAAAGTACTGATTAATAGTTATGACATTCGTTCGCATATTAGCGAACACGAAACCAAGAAACGTCACAATGACAAATGACCTTATTCATTGAGAATTGTCCACATATGATAACGAAATTAAGAATATTATTCGTAGATACCTCTCTTGTTTTTTGTCCCATGTTTCTTAGCAGTCTGAATTTCAAGTTCTATTTTAGTTTCAAGAAAATCTTGTTTCTTTAATAACATATCCTCAGTCTCCCGTAATTTCTGTATAGCTTCGGCCGTTGATAAGGAAGCCGGTTCTTTTTTACCGCCAAATACTTTACTAAAGAAACTCATTGTCTTAACAAATTGTACTTCAAATTTAAATTATAATTACGCTCTTAAACACGATAAACACTGTACACTTGAAACAGAATCAACAAGACCCCGCACTAACCAAATACCATCGCCATATTCCCTTTGGCATTGAATACGTCATGACTCATCGCAAAGTTACTATAAAATTTGAATTCATTCAAAGTTTGTAGACCTAGAGATATTGAAATTTACGTTGTTTAAAAATTTATTTTTAAAATTAAAACTAGCAAATGAGATGTCTGATTAAAATTATAATGAAGACAATCAAATAAAATTTGATTTAATATGTATATTTGTGTCGTTCATTGAAAATAGTCTAAGTTTAAAATTAACTCCCACGATCACATATTTTTATGATGAGTAACAATTTTTTATACACATAAAATACATACCTTTTTATTATAAAAATATATCTATATCAAAAAGCATTGGAGAAAGTGTGTTCAAATATTGATATAAGACTTTAACTTGCATTGAAATCAAACGTCATTTTAAAAAATAATGGCATCAAATCTTTGATACCTAAAGATTTTATTTCTCTAACATTTTATGTATTTTTTCCCGTTATTTACAAAAATAGTACTATGTACGAAGATATGTTGAATAAAAAATACATGTGTAATTATCGTTACTTGTAACGACCGTTTAATTTGTATATAAAAATTTAAAATGAACAAATATAATGATGTAATCAGGGTTGCCACCACTTTGGTTTTAACCCGGAGACTCCGGATTTTAATACAAATCACTGAGTTTCGGTTTTACTAGAAATATCTCTGGGTTTGTAGAAAAAATGGGTTAATAAAAAATTTGCACAATTTGCTCTAACAATACATTCTATTTAACAATTTTAAGAGTGTACCAGACAGCGACATCTATTCAAAATACTTATTCTCGGGTCATTCCCAACTGGCCTCTCAAAACTTATCTCAAAGCAAATCTTATCTCTTTATTACAATCTCCGGCTTGTAATTTATAACAGTCCGGTGGCAACCCTGGACGTAATAAATGCGTCATAATTTTCGCGACAGTGATAGAAGTACAAATATTTTATATCATTCTATTTTTTATTATTTGTTGTATCTACTTTAATATACAGATATTTATTTCTAGGCAACCTTTTCAAATGGATTTCAATCTGAAGAATGTAAGTACATATTATAAAAAGGAATATTATCTTCTTTACATATATTTTGAAAGTTCTTTTGTTGCTTAGTAATCGTTTCCGATACGGTATCTTACGATACAAGAAACTACTTTTAGCTTGTCCAACATTTCGTAACAACATTTAAAAATAAATATGCGCGATCAATGATACTGTTTTCTTTCCCGGGTTTTTTTAAAATTTAGGCACTATACATGATGCGAAGCACTTGAAGAGATAATGATAAATTGTTTAAAATAATGTTCGATTGATTTTTAAAAATTATCAATTTTATGTTGCGTAATATAAAGTTAGATTTCTGAACCAAATGAACTATTAATATTGCAATTTACAATAAAAGCATCTTTGTTAAGGATTTGAAAAAACGTGTACCTGGTGGAGAAACTACTCTAAGTCAATTAACAGAAGTTTTGTATAGGACACAAACTGATAATAAACCAATACCAGGATTTGATCCTGATCGACATGATACCCAATATTATCGTGCTCAACAGGCTGTTGATTGTGATGAAGTATATCCAGGAATATATATTGGTGATGCGTGAGTATATAAACATTTTTTTTTAAATTACCATGTCATACTTTTTATTACTTGTCTTTTAATCATTTTTTCTGTTCCTTTAAAAATTAATTAACATTTAATAGTCATAGTGCAATGAATAAAAAATACCTTAAAACGTTGGGGATAACACATTTACTTAATGCTGCTGAAGGAAAAAGATTTGGATTTGTAGATACAGATAGATATTATTATGCAGACACGACAATAAAATATCTTGGTCTACCACTTGATGATTCATATACTACAGATATTAGCAAATACTTTAATACTGCTGCATCCTTTATTGATGAAGCTGTATCTACAGGAGGTAATTTTCCAATGATTTAGTAATGAAAAAGTTAAAGTTGCATATTATCAGTAATATTTTAATATAGATTGTTTAATATTGGATTTTTTTTTCCAGGTAAAGCTTTTGTTCACTGCGTGATGGGAATATCACGTAGTGCAACATGTGTGATAGCATATTTAATGATAAAGAAAGGAATGCATAGCATAGATGCTCTTCGAACAGTTCGCAAAAATCGTCACATTAAACCAAACGTTGGCTTTCTTCAACAATTAGCGGAATTAAATAATGAACTACAAAGAAAGGCATGTAACTAAGACAAATAACTAAATATATCGTTAATGGAGCTGACACAGAAAAGAATGAGGCTCATAAAGAATATATACAATGTGTACAATACATGTAATTTTATAGGTATATATTGTACAAAAATAATTGCATATAAAACTCTAAGAAGTATGATCAAAATTTACGATTAGATTGATAAGTTATTATTGAAATATACATTCTATAATTTGACAATTTAATATTATATATTATACACAAATTCCATTGTTAATTATTTAAAAAATCTATTTTTTATACGTAATTCAGATGTTAATATACCATTACGTGCATTTTGCGAGATCGTAATCACAATCACGTAGGCATTATTATAATTCACAATTCAAAGTATTATATATAATAGTATTACATCGCTTCTTGTAACTCACCCTTTTGTTTGATGGATTGTATGTTGTTTAATAAATTATAAAATTAATAATGTAATACTGTAAAAAAATTCTCAATTTGATATTGTTACCGATGGCTACTACGTTTATTAACTTACTACACGTGGTCTTTTCGAATGGGTCTCCATAAGCGTAGACGAATGATTCGGTGTACCTATATCATTTACATTGTCTGGAGCTAATGGACCACTGCGTTTTCTCGCCTTCGGAGACAGTTGTTTTAGACATTCCATATCATTAAATACTACCTGTGCACCTCCCCCACTGGTGGGTATTATATCTCCCTAATATAATAATATATATTTTAAAACATCATATAATTGTCTCAAATTTGTATAGAAAATAATTACCTTGAATAGTTTCGTCTCTAGCTCGCCATCTGTATCTTGTTCTTGTGCGACAAGACAATATCTGGATGCACCCTCTGTAATTTCCTTTGGATCTGTAAGTCGTGTAACGCTGCGTCTTCTATGCATTAAAGGTTGGAGAACAGTTCCTACGGGAACTATTGCTCCTGGTCTGTGATCAATCCATCTATCAGCGCTTTGTGAACGCCGATATCTCAAATTTGCAACGTGCATTTTATCCTATAAATGAAATATATTTAGACTACATGTTTACAGCTTTATTGTTACATAATGTAGAAAGAACTGACCCTTCGTGATCGACAATCCGTTGCTTTTGGAGTTGCCTCTGCGCAATTAGGAGTAGCAATTGCATGATCTTTGGGAACATTACTACCATTCTCATCAACTAAAATTTGCTTTACTAATCTTAATTTATTATCTTTTTCCTTCATTTGATTCTGAAACAATTGTTGAACTTCATAAAAACTACATACTGTTAATTAATATATTTATATACTATACGATTCATTCGCTTTTTACCTGTAAGTGTTCACGTTGTTGGCGTAACTTGATTTCTAATTCCCTGTTCATTTTATCAGTTTCCACTTGCATTTTGGTATTGTATTTTTGTTTAACCCTTTGTTTATCTATTAGCCGTTGATTTAATGCCATGTCTCTATCTTTCAACTAAAACAGTTATGATAAAACAAGTGTAAACACTTATATAACAAAAGAATGAATGGATTCGTTAACTACCTCTTGTTGCAAGCTGCGTATTGTATCATTTGCATGATTCAATTTTCGGAGTAAACTATCAATTTGTTCTTCAGTTTTACATAAATGACCCTCTAATGCAGAAACTTTCTTTTTTTGTTGCGAATTAGCTGCCTTTAACGATGCATTTTCAATTTTTAAATTCAAGTGTTCTTGTTCCACTACCATCAACATTTTTCTAAGATTGTTTTCTGTAAATACAAACATGAAAATATTAACTCATGTTTAAATCTCATTAAAAAATAAACTGCATTCTTACGCTTCTGTTGTAAATCAGCACGTAGTATATTCCGTTTGTTAATGCGCTGTTCCAAAAAGTGCATCAAATTAGTAATTATTTGATCACTGCGTGGAGAACTAATTTCCAATTCAGGAAATGGACCACCCAAACTGAATAAAAACCATATTAGTCTAAATAAAATAAAAGAAAAAGTAGGTAAAAAGTAATATTTACCTATACACTAAGCCTATATCTACTTCCAAATCAGCAGCTTCAGGGCGACCTTCTTTTTCCAATTTAGTGCGTGCTTCTTTAAATATCTATCAAAAGTTGTTTTTTTATTAACGTATTTTCAAATTATATTCGCTGTTGCTCTCGTATGATTTATCTCACCTTATTTGCATGTCTTCTTCCAGGTGTAAAACCAAGATCTATCTTGGTAATTGTTGGTCTAGCTACTTGAACTTCCTGAGTCATTTCCGCAAATTTCATTACTTGCTATAAAAGTATTAGAACATAAAACAATTAAATTATTTTATTTTTTGAATTTACGTTTTACATTACGTTGGTTTTTTCCTTACAATTGTTTCATCATAATCATCTGTCCTTGGATTAATACAAACAATCATTCTAACTTGTCCTTCTCCATCAAAATAATTTTTGAACAAATGGGTAAGCTTCGAATCTCTGTAGGGTACCATCTTACTTGTACCCTGAAGTTGATTCTCTCTTAAAATTTCCAGACACGATCGAAGCGTCATCAAAGAATTATTAATATTCCCTGAACAAAATGGATAGTTATAAAAAACATATTACAATGTAATTATAATGTTTACATCTGAAGCATAATAACCTGCTTCTCGTAATCGTTGACCTGTGTTTTTAGTTCTATTAGTTCTCTCACTACCTGCTAAGTCTACTAAAGACAATTGAGTAATACATACTACTCGTTTATCTTGTATAATTTGCTCTCCGTCACAATCTAACGGTGCCTGTGGGAAAATATAATACTGTATTGCATACGAATACTAATTATATAAAAAATAAAGGATCTTGAAAACATTACTTGTACAAGCCGGATAGTGAAAACACTATGCGATCTACTTGATTCGGCATTAAGTGCAGTATGCGCAACTCTCCGTCTCCGTTGCCCGCGTTGAAATACTTCAAATGCTTCTTCTGAGCTTTTTACTTCAATTTCTGTTACAGCATGCACATACATATTTTTATTACCATCCTCCCTAACTATCTTACTCTGTAATGACCTAAAAAGTGTTTTATTATTATATCATTGGAAGACAAATATATTTAAGTTAAAAATAAATATATGACTATACTTGGTTCTAATATCTTCATCTTCCAGTAAATCATATACACTGTTATTGTATATTTCAACATAAGTAACAAACACAGCATAGGCATTATCTTGATCCACTTGTACTATTTGTGATTCATCTATCTCACGAGCTATCATTGGATTACTGTCACCATCACTCTCTGCTTTGCGCCTGATAAAACCATTATGATTTATTAAGAGTATTTCTTCAAGTGGAAATACTTGTTATCTATTTAACATAACACATATTGTTCTTGTACTTACACTTTGCCTGACTTCCCAGCTCTTTGTGACATAAGTCCAGCATGAAGTTCACTTTGTCTATCAAGCATAGCATCTGCTTCACCTTGTATATCAAAACCATTCAACTTGTCTGGTTTAAAAATAAACTTTTTTGTCTGATAATTAGCAATACTGTTAAAAATAACATCCAGACAACGAGGCATTATGCCTGCATCTTGTGGTTCACCAGTCATTGTATATGTTTTACCACTTCCTGTTACTCCATAAGTAAATAAAAGACTATTTCTACCACGAATAATATTTTCAACTAATGGAAGAGCAACTACATTAAAAATCTCCTTTTGTGTTGCATCTGATGTAAACACATTGCTAAATGTTGTTTGAATCTCTTTATTGCTAGAACTACGAAAATTAATTGCTGATTCTGGTGGTGTAATAACCACAGTTGTATCAGATGTAACTTTCATACATGCTACATCAGTAGAATGCTGCATTGGTCGTAAACGACAATAAACTTGAACTGGATCTTTTGATAACATATTATTACCCCTTGGACGGCTTGCTGGTTTACGAGCTGAACCTGGTGGTTTTATACGTCTAAAATGTTAACATAACATTTATTTCCAATTTTTGTAAACATTGCACATTAAAAAAACAATGACTACAACTTCATCAAACAATTTAATTTCGTAACACTCAATAGAAGGTATGTCAAATATAACAATAACTAAACTTCATTAAATTTTATTCATAAAAATTTCGTAAATTTCAATATAATGCAACACCACTTACACAGACTTCATTTTCTTGTAGTTATAATCTTTTAAATTGAACTATTTCAAAATTAATGCTAAGTTTTCTATTTCTTGATAAATGCCACAGACCGTTTTCGGATTCAATGTTCAAAATTTAAATCTAGATACAAAATGGAGTAATGCATGCAGTGATGCCAAATTCACATAAAAAAATCCTACATGCTGTGATACAAGCTTATGTATGTACCGTGATTGGTTCAATAAGGTATAAAAAATATATTAGAAAAATATGTAGTCTTAATTTCGTGATAAGATTTATAAAATATAATCCAATAATTTTTAAATACTATTGATAAAGATAATTTTAGTGGAGAGAAATGATACGAGGTTAGCAATAAATAAGATTTTATTTCTCATCAGAGGATTTATTTTTATACTTATACAAAGACATAAAGTGCCAAATTACTTCTTAGGCTTTTTGTCCTTAGCAACCTTGGTAACATCATCTGGATTTTCTGCCGCTTCCTTCACACGTTTTGCGCGAATACCCACTAATCTAGCATCAGCCCTAGCCTTACGAAGAGTTACATATGCAGAGAATTTCTTCTCTTCCTCAGAAATGACACGAGCCTTAGCTTTAGCTGGTGCTTGATGTCTTACTGGCATGATTTCTCCTTTAACTTGTGTTGCAAGTTTTATCTCCTCTTCAGTTGCATCACCCTTCTTAGGCTATTTTCATAAATGATATTAGTATGAAGTTTTTTGACATCGTGAAGTATACTGCATTATACTTACTTTCTTTTCATTTTGTGGGAAGAGAATCAATTTCGATTTGTATTCTTTCAATCTTTGAGCATTTGTTTGCAAAGATTCAACTGATTTGTTACGTCTTCTAGGATCTACTGCAATTCCAATAGTCTTAGCAAACCTTTTGTTCAAACCATTAGCTTTTAGCTCCTCTAATGTGAAACCTTTACCAGCTCTAACTTTTGTATGATAACGGAATGTTGGGCAGTGAACAACAGGTCTCAAAAGCTTGACAGGTCTTAAAATTTAATTAATGTTGCATAAATGAACAGTATAATACAAGAATTACTATGTATTCACAGTATGAAATATTAATGCAGTAAAAACGAAATAAATATGCATCATTTACCTTGGTGCAACTGCACGAGCTTTCTTTACACGGCTTTGTTTACGACGGTATTTTCTAGCTGGTTGATTAAACCAAGTTTTGACAAATCTTTGCCAGTCTTTATGGAAATGCCCATTAGGGATCATATTATTTCTCTTCCCCATGGTTAAACTAAAATAAAAGAAGAGAATTCGTGATTTACTTCTCAAAGAACATGATACACTTGTTTCATAGATTAGAAATATAGTACTACATCAAATTGTAAACAAAAGAATTAAGGATGAGTACAATTTTTTTATAAGTAAAATTTACACAGCCTTAATATTATTTTACAATATTCATATAATCACTGTGTACACATTTTATTATTAAAAAAGATATTTTGTTAACTCTATGTTAAAACATGAGACACTTAACCTCCTGATTAATGTCAAAAAATGTTTCTGCTTGTTATACCCTAAAATCACAAATATATTATTAAATTACAATTTAATACACAAATAATAATATATTTTCACTATTTTGCAAGGTATTAATTCAGGATGTTAAGTTTTTAGTTGGATTTTAAACTGAAAACATTACTCACGAACTTGTTTATACGGAACACACCGGAAAAAGAATCAATTGCACGAAGCGGAAGTTTTAGTTTCCAGCACAGTAAAGTTTACTTGTTCAAATTCAGAATTATGTATTTAAACTGTATATAAAACTGTATTTCCTAAACACTATTTATTGATAAATACCATTTGATTTTAGAAATATTTTTACTATGAAAATTTAAATACAGAGTATGTTTTTTTTAAAGTAGTCTATAAATATGTCTACTTACACTACAAGTTGAACATAAGTTGTATATTTAATGTTCGAGTGCTTAGATGTAATGTTTAAACAATAGAACTTGACAATGAAGATTACGAAGTTATTTAGTGAAAAGTATGTTCTATATTATAGGAATGAAATATTGTTTAGAAATATTATTCATCGATATGCTTCGACCGGCATAAACAAATTTTCGGTATGATTTCTACTTCGTAAATAAATATGTTTATTATTAAATTGATATATAAAAAAATTTAACATTTTTATAGAATTGTATACCCACAAGTGAAATAAAAATAGATATAGAGAAATATTGGAAGGAAAAAGTTAACCTGCACAAATATGATGAAACAGATAACACAAGAAAGAAATGTTATATATTATCAATGTTTCCATATCCTTCTGGAGCACTTCATATGGGTCATGTAAGAGTTTATACAATAAGTGATACTGTTTCTCGTTTTTATAGGATGCAAGGTGAAATTTCTAAATTATAAATATTAATTATATGACATATTTAGGCATTTAGAGATTTTTTTACTTTCTTTCTTTTGTTTCAGGATATAATGTCCTTCATCCAATGGGTTGGGATGCATTTGGATTACCTGCTGAAAATGCTGCAATGGACAAACAAATTCATCCAGTTACATGGACACAGGAAAATATTAACAATATGAGAGCTCAATTAAATTCATTAAATTATGCCTTTGATTGGGATAGAGAATTTGCTACATGTGACCCAGAATATTATAAGTGGACACAAGCATTATTTTTAAAACTCTTTGAGAGAGGTTTAGTTTATAGGAAAGAAGCATTTGTTAATTGGGATCCTATTGATGAAACTGTATTAGCTGAGGAACAAGTTGATGAAAATAATTGTTCCTGGAGATCAGGGGCTAAAGTAGAAAAAAGGTTGTTAAATCAGTGGTTTATTAGAACTACAGCATTTGCTAAGTCATTGTTTGAAGGGTTAAACAATCCTATATTAAAAGAATGGGCTGATGTTATAAAAATGCAACAACATTGGATAGGTGAATGTAATGGCAGTAGTTTTGAATTACAAGTGATAGGAAACATTCCACACTATCCAAAAGCAATAAATGTTTGGACTAATTATCCAGAATTTATCGAATATGCAAAGTTTATTGCAGTATCTCCAAACAGCTTATTAAATAGACCAGAATATTGTAAAGATGTAGCAGAAGGAATAAAAGTTATAGATGCCAAAGTACTAAATCCATTCAATGAAAATGAGTTACCAATATTTGTGACAGATAAAGTTCAGTTTCAAAATTTTAGAGATACTTATATTGGTATACCTTCTGCATCAATGGATGATTTTCAATTTTCTGATATAGTTGGAATTGAATTCACACGGCATTCAATAAGAAGTTATGAAGAACAACAGTCAAAATTATTAGAAGTGTTATCTAAAGCAAAAAAATGGAAAATTGGTGGTTATCCAGTTAGTTCAAGATTGCAAGATTGGTTGATATCTAGACAAAGGTATTGGGGCACACCTATTCCAATTATTCATTGTTCAAACTGTGGTGCTCAGCCAGTACCACATGATCAACTTCCTGTAATTCTACCAAATATATCCTTTTCATCTTCAAACAAAAAGTCTACATTATGTGAAGCTAAAGATTGGTTGAATACTTCTTGTCCTAAATGTGGAGGAAAAGCAGTTAGAGAGTCAGACACAATGGATACATTTGTAGATAGTTCATGGTATTATTTGAGATATGTTGATCCAAAAAATACGAAAGAAATGTTTGCAGTTGATAAAGTGAAAGAGATATTTCCTGTTAATCTTTATATAGGTGGAAAAGAACATGGTAAATATGTAACAGTATACAAATTCTTTATATATATAAAATGTATGTATTTAAACATCTTAAAGTAGCAATGTTATAATTTCAGCTGTACTGCACTTATATTATGCTAGATTTATAAGTCACTTCTTACATTCAGAAGGACTTTTACCCTGTACAGAACCATTTAAGCAATTACTTGTGCAAGGTATGGTGTTTGGCAAAACATATCAAGTACAGAGTACAGGAAAATATTTGAAATCAGATGAAGTGGAAGAAAAGGCAGGGCAGTGTATAGAGAAAAGTACTAAAGAACCAGTAATAATCACCTGGGGAAAAATGTCTAAATCAAGATATAATGGTGTTGAACCTCTTGAAGTGGTAAATGAGTATGGAATTGATACAACTAGATTAATTATATTAGCTGATCAAGCGCCAACCTCGGTTAAGTATTGGAATCATAAAAGTAAGCTTTTTATAATGAAAATTCTGATTAATTATTGTAGAACAAATAATATGTATTTTAAAAAAATCTAGCCGTGCCGGGAATATTAAATTGGCAAGACCGTTTATGGAAAACAGTAAACAAATTTGTAGCCTATCGTAATAGCACAACTTTGGAAGAATTTCAAGCAGAACCTACTCATCCTAAATTTGCAGAAGAGGATGCATATCTGTTTGATAGTCGAAATTATTTCTTAAAGAATGTAACTTTTAATATAACTGGATCCCAGCAATTGAGTGTTGCAATATCAAGAATGCAAGGACTCACAAACAGGTACATACTATTATTTTAAAGAGTACTAATGATTACAATGATTGAAAAATTATTAATTACCTTTTATCTTTAATATTAAGCTTACGCAAAGTATCGATACAATGCATGCAAAAAAGTCGTGAATACGAACGTGCATTAGCAGTACAAATTATAATGCTTGCACCATTTGCGCCGCATTTTGCTTCGGAGTTGTGGGCCGCATTTTCTTCAGTAAAACATCATCTGATAAGTGAAAATGAAGTAAAATTAGATAAGGATGTAATGGAACAAAGTTGGCCAGAAATAGATAATAATTACAAACTTGTTTTGGAAATCATGGTAAGTTAGAAAAATTTAAGGTATTTATTACTTTGTTGTCATTATCTACAAATTTACATAAATGTATTATTTTATATCTTAAGTTTTATACTATAAATGCTTCTATATAAATGTATTATCAACTATATTGTTTTCTATGTCACTAGATAAATGGTGCACGGTATAAGAAGATCAAAATACCCAAATATGAAATGGATAAGTTGACACTTGCAGAAGCTCTTGATTTAATAGAGAATGAACCAGATGTCCAGAAACGTTTAAAAAATCACAAGATTGTTGACTCTAAACTTCTTTCAAGGGAAGGCTGTGATTCAAAATTAGACATTTCAATAAAAAAATGCATAGAAACTGTGGTAACATGAATTTTGTATAAATACTAAATATAAGCAGAAATATTTAAAATAAGATGAGTAAAAAATATTATAAATGCTATGATACTAGTCCTTATTACATAAATTTTTTGTATAAAACATGAACAATAAAAATATTTAAAAAACTGTAAATAAACATATCATTTAAACAAATTAATAGTAACAATTATTCTTACCCAATATCATATTCTCCTTGATATTTATTATGAGGTATTGTTTCTAAAAATTTAATATAGTCATGTGGTAACTGACTTTCTTTTGCACCTTTTAATATTGTTTCCCTATGGCAAAATTGGAAAAAATGGCATATTAAGTAAAATTAAATAATGCTTCTACAATAAATTTAAACTGAACTAATCTTACAAGTATAATGGTGAAGGCCTTCTATGTTTTGGTAATGTACACAATTTTAGATGTTCATTTGGTTTATTGCATTGTTGATATACTCTGCACCTTAATAATTTACCAGTAGATGTTTCTACATCAACTAGCAAGGGAAAATATAACTTATCTGCAACACCTTCTTGCTTATCTAATGTAGATCTGTTGCAGCCATGTAATTCCCAAATTGCTCCCCATACAGCATAATTTTCTGTTGGAACAATTGTTGCTGAGCATCCACCCCATCTTTTTGAATGTGTTAGAAAGTCTAGTCTAAAATTCTGATATAATTCAGTATTTGCATACAGCATAATGATTAATAATTTATAATTGATAAAATATAAAAAGTAAAAATTTGTAAAATATAAAAAATTTTGTTTATTTCAATTAATTAAAATAAAAGTAAAAAATCCGGTAAGCGGGAAATACTTTCAAATAGTGTATATTTACCTTTAAAAAACCAACATCTCTTCGTACTGCAGTTGGATTATTAATGTGTATTCTTTTTGCTAGCATATTACTTCCATAAGCAAAATATAAAAATTTGTCATTCATTTTATGGATTGATTTACAAAATTTCCTTTGAGTAACTTATTAACTGCTGCAAACTAATGAATAGGTTAAGGCACAGATCAGGTACGAGATAGATCTTGCACCTAATGTATTTTTGTGTATTTTTACGTCATCTGTGGTTAAGGTATCATTCATTATCAATGTTAGATATTTATGATGTTTGCAAATGACAAAGCATAATTACATATTCTCAGGAAATAAGTATTATCTACTATTTAAAAAACGCCTCGATAACTAGGTTAACGGAAAGATACAAGTAAAAAATTAGAAACGTACTTTGCACATGTCTTACCATTACAGTAATTGATAACGTATTTTATATATCATAACATGTAGGATGTAAATTATTTGCCGTTTTAACATGTAAATTATAATTGTAAGAAATATAATGCACCGATGTTAAAAATGTTTATATTTAATCAGGTATACACATTTAATAAAGCATTATACATATACATAAGTTATAAGTTATAATTAATTTGTTATTCAAATTTATAATTTGCATATATTTCGTAAAACATATCGCGGCAATTTATTTTAACCTGAAGCTTAGCACATAGTAAGAAAACTCCTGATAATTTTCTATGTAGACTGTATATTTCTTCAGGCGGAGGACAAAGTCTGTGATCTAATATTGTTGGCACTAGTGACTGAATCCTGTAACAAGTATTACATGCATTCATTTAATGCAATATTGTTATAATATAAGTTGAGATAAGTTATTGTTACCGTTTAGTTACATCCTGTCCACCAAAATCGTAATATTTATGATTTTTATCAAATACTTGACCTAAAACCATTACTGTGTCTACATGAGCTTCTTCCATAATCTGAAATTAATGCAATATAATAAATATGTAAATATCTATTTAATAATATCTTTTACATTCGTAATCAATAATAATAGAAGGAACATATACTTTAGATTCGTATCCTGTAAGAAATCCCATTTCTCTAGATAAATTTAAGATTTTGTCGCGGTTGCCTTCACTTGCAGCATGAATTATTTGAATGTATTTATCCATAAACAACTTTTCATACTCCCGACATGCACCAAAATCTAACAACACCAACTGAAAATTATATTGCAAAATATTGAAAAATATGGTTCATAATGTTAAGAAGTATATCAATATATTATTATTATTGATATCCTGTATACAAACTTGTCTCGTATTCGTATTGTAGAAAAAATTTGACCAATTTGGATCAGTTTGCATATATCGAAAAACAAATAATTCTTTAAGACACAAACGCATTATCAATTTACAAATATGTTCTCTTGTTTCCATATCCATGCTTGTACATTTATCTACTGGAATTCCTTCTACCATTTCAGTTGCAAAAACTTGGTTTGTTGATAACTCATCTAAATATAAAATTAAGTTATTATTTCTATATTTGGAATGCCAATTTTTTCTATTCATCAATTTACCTATTACAGTAGGAACATAATAATCTGAATAAGATTCTATAAGTTTTTTATATCTTCTTGTGCATTCTGCTTCTCGAACGTAATCAACTTCCCATGCAAGTTCCCGTTTTGCAACTTCTACCAAGTTATCTATGAACATACCTTTTGGAAAAATGTTCCAAACCTATAAAAACTTAAATGTATATAATTATTTCTCAGAAAATTTAGAATAAAATATAAAAGTAAACATTGATACCTTCATTATGCCTACTAAATTTTCAACATCACTTTGAATACCCATAGCTACACCTGGGTATTGAATTTTAATTGCAACATCTTGTCCATTTAACAAGGTACCATGATGTACTTGACCTACAATACTTCTTCTCATATAAAAAATATTCTTTAAAATATTTTTACATTACTTTATTTTTGTATACAATTATTTAATTACCAATGGAAGCTGCAGCAAATGGTTTATCTTCAAAGGTAGTTAATTTATTTCTCCAATCATGTCCAAGTTCACTAGCTAATACTTTTTCAACTTGCCAAGTTGGCATAAAATCAGCACTTTGCCTAACTCGCTCAAAAACCTTTTGTAATTCCGGACTTATAATACTTTCATCTTGTATACTTAAGATTTGCCCAATTTTTAAAGCTGCACCTATTATAAATGTACATAAAATATGTAATTAATAGCCAACAAAAAATGCAATAAATATATTAGCAATACTTGCCTCTTACTTTACATAAAGTTGAAACTATTCTTTCTGCATTTGCTTTGGTAAGAAATAGACTATCAATTGTATCTCCAAAACCTTGTTTTTTTAATCCAAGTGTTCTACGTGTATACTCTGCAACTGTGCCAACACCAAGACCAATTCCTAATGTTCCAAAGCTTACCATTCTCTGTAATCTGGTAGCTGGAACTTTTTGTGCTTTTGCATTAGGTGAAAGCTGTAAAATAAATATTAATTTTTTAACAAGTCTAGCAGATGAATTATATAAAAGTTATCGAGATACTTACAGTTTGTTTTGGTCTTACAGTTGGTTTTGGTTTAGGTTTAATTTGAGGATTGTCTGAAATTACTTTTACATTTTCTGTTACTTTACCTACTAATTCCTCTGAATCAGCTTTTGCTACATTATCTTGTTTTCTATTGTGGTTCTTTACATTTTTTTCATGTTCTAATTCTAATCTCCTCAAAATTTCTTTGTCCTTCTCAGAAAGTTCTATCTTAGGTATTTCATGTTTTAGTTTGGAAATTGTTTCAATTTTTTCCTTGACAGTTGTATATTTCTTTAAAGGTGTATCTTGTTTGTCTTGCACATTACTACCAGGATCAGACTTTTTGTTTGAAACATCCATTTCTGTTATTATTTCTTTTGGATCTTTGGCAGGATTATAAACATATAACTTAGTTTTCTTAGATTTTATAGGTTCATCTTGATCTAATGGCACTCCTATGGTTTCTTTAGCTTTGAGTTTTATAAATTCTATTATACCTTTTTCGACAACATTTATCCGTTCTGCCACTTCTTTAAGTTCTTTTGTTACTTGAACCTGTATATATGTAATACTGTATAGAATATTATTGCTTTCATTTATAAAATTAGTTTATATTAGTAAACACAATGCAATGAGCAGTTACTATATGAAAAAGTTTATGTTGTATTACAAGGAGGTACAAACAATTTTCACTTATTTCTTGAAACTTACAGGAACCTTACTTGGTTCTATATTTCTAAATGTTCTTAAACTGTCTGTTACACATTTCCCTGCAGTAGTTTTCAAACTTGAAGTCTGTATTACATGTTTAATTGATTCTTCTTGATGCTTTATGAGAGCATCAGTTACTGTCTTAACTCCTCTAAGTATACCAATGACATCAGATATGCGATGTTGAGACATTGCTGCAGTACAATTTACCTATAAATTGGTTATTAAAGTTGATTATAATAATTTTTGTAATATAAATTACAAGAATCGAATTATTTTCATTTTATATAAAATATGTTTGTTTTTATTTTTTAATAACAGTATATTCAATTATTTCCGGTGATCTACTTATAAGGATTGTTACGACTTCAGAAAACTGCGTACTTGAATAGTAATGAACTGCCTATAACTTATGTTTAAAATAAATGTAGACCTTGAAATGCGCAAATAAGGTTATAATGTAACGTGTTAGTGGTTTTCGTTGCACCAGAAGATTTGTACTTTATTTAAATCAAATTTTCACATAGCAAAAGTTTTTTAACGTTATACCTATGTTTTTTGTAAGATGCAAATTTTTAAACATTAATATTTTAGGAACATATGCGTAAAGGAACCTATACATAACCCATATATAATACACATAATGCAAAGATTTGTATCATGCAATCTTTTTTCTCAAACTTCTAGAACACGTGTTTCCAGTTTATCTTCAAAATACTAATTAATAAGAAACATATGTATGATGCAAAGGTTATAATGATACCTCGCATTTTTTTCTAATAAATCTTTATTGTACTTTCTTTAAAATTTTTTATCCTTTTATTATATGCAGGAATTATTAACGACGGTTTATTAATCGTCAATTAAGAAATTACAGAATTACAGAAATTCTACAATTTATTAAGAACACCTTTACTTAATGTATTGTTTACAAGTTATACATATACATATATATATACACATTGAACTTTGTTCAAATATGTAGTATGTAATAGAATGTGTATTTTCAAATTCACCTGCATTAAAAATCACATAAATAATCATTTTATAATGCAATTATTGCTGCAATGATCTTTATAAACGAAAACTAGCAAGCTTTAAATTTTGTTATTTTTTCAGTATTTATATTTATCAATACCTTATATGCTCTACAATAATTTTATTTATATACACAGTATATGTTTTTCTCGTTGTATCTTTATATAACTACAAAAACAGAAAATTTATTATACACTTTGGGATGATTTATAATAACCTGATAAATTGGAGCTCAAACCATTTCCTATAAAATGATCATGAATTAAATGTTTATTTTATGTATACCCCCCTTGAGGCAGTCTCAATGAATTAAAGTAATACATAAAATTGTTGAAGTATACAAATACCAATGACAATATTTATAAAAATGCATTTATTTTTAAACTTTTTCGAAACTATGTTTCTTCAAAAATGTTGTTTTTAGAATCCTTAACAATGTGATTCTTGTTCTTAATATTCATTAAATTTATATATAAGGAGAGACCACCTCATCAAGCTTAGTGTTATGTTTTGATAACATTTTCAACAAGAAAGAAAACTAATTTTACAATAAAACATGAGTGCAATGAATTGACACTCGTTAAAATTAAATAACATTTGGTTGGTCTGGAATAAGAGAAGAAAAAAATGTACTGAAAAATGTCCAAGTAAAGGCAAGTGCACCAGGTCTTTCCTCTTCATGTTCTTCATTTGCATTTGTTCTTGCTTCTGCTTGCATAGTTGGCACCTGATCATTTTGTTGCTGTGGTGCAGGCTGAGGACCCCCTGCTTCATTTTGTAACATTTGGTTATTGTTATCTACCCGATCTACTCTACCATTATTATTTTCACCTAAGAGAGGTTGTACCCGGAAGAAACCACCTTGATACCTGCAAATAATTAATTTCATTATAAATACTTGCACTTAAAATATATAAATATGATATAAAAGTATATAAACTTACAGATACATTGCAAAGGCGAGAAATGTAGTAATAAGAAATCTTAGAGGAGACGAATTAAAATATACTATACTGAAGAGAACAATAATTCTTGATATCATATACAAAAAATCTAGCCAATCTCTGTTAAATGCACCATCTTCTCCAGCACCATTATTTCCTCCATTAACCTCAGCTTCTGGGGCAGCAGGTTGTTGTTGTTCATCACCAACATTGTTATTATTATTTGTGTTATTTGTATATGGATTTTGCACACTATCATTTGTATTGCCATTCATTTGTTGAATATATGGAATGCTAGTTTGTAATTGTATTCCTTGTGCTGCCATTCTATGAGAAAACATTCTTCTTTATTGTACATACTTTTTTCAAAATATGAAAAAATTACTAAAATACCACTTACAGTTGCATATACTGTGTAAAATAATGGCTATATGCTTGTTGCATCCAAGCCATTTGTTGACTATTTCGTGGATCAAAATATTGTTGTGTAGAATATAATTGTGCAGGAGTATGTTGCATGGTAACATTATTTATGTTCTGACTTTGATTTTGTACATTATTTGTATTATTTAATCTCATATGTTCTATTGTACTTCTTGCAGTAGGAATTGTACTTGTGTTTTCTACAACTTGTTCATTAGTCATTTTATTTGCAGATGTTTTTTGTGATGCACAAACTAAATGAACAGTATAAGCTTGGTCTGCTTGTCCATCACATTGCCTTAAAACATCTTTCAAACATATTGTATCTTTTAGTAATTGTCCAGAATATATAAGTTTTTGACTTGCCCGCTCCTAAGAATACATATGTATTGATTAGTATATTATTCATTCATTATATAAAACTTAATATTTGTTTTGTTTTCACGTAATACAAATTAAAAAAAAACAAATGTTGCAAATAAATAAACCAATAAACCCAACATAAATAAATTAAGAAAATTATTTTCTTCTTGATAATTAAATTACACTTATTAATCTATTAAAAGATTAATGCTATTTTCAACTAATAATACACTACGATTTCTTGAAGAACATGTAGAAGTAAGAAAAACATATAATTATAAACTGTTTTCAATATAATGATGCTAATAGTACATTGCTTTCATTAGGAATTAACAGACTACAGCTTTCACAAAATTTCACGTAAGAATAGATTTACAATAAATAAAAGATAACTCACTGGTTTACTAGGATAAACTTCGGACAAGTGTTCTTTTAATTGGCCAACCGTCCACCCAATATCACAATTTATGATTTGATCTTTAATCTGCTGATTCGGTGCTTTTATTATTACTTTAACTGCAGTTCCTTCCATTATCTAAAAGTTTCAGTTTTTTGGGTATCGTTTGATCAGCTGTTTCTACTGTCAATCACTTGGAGAGTATTAACAATGCTACCGAGGCAGGTTGATAATTTTGTATTCTTGAAATGTTATACAGTACGTTGTCTTCTTTGTCAAACCAGCTAGCCGATTTGCACCTAATTCTCCCGTATTATTTATTTGAGTACTGATTAGAACAAATTCATCACTGATATATTTTTGTAAGCGTCACTAAATGGAATCACGTATTTGGCGACTTATCATTGGTCGCAGATTACAATTTATTTATGCTGTGATAAGAGCCGATCTTCAAGTAGATTTTCTTCGTTTCGTCTATTTTATGCCGATATCATAATGCATGGAAATTACTGATAGTTTTCATGAAAATGCCATCATAATTGCAGTTTGTTGCCAATTTAGTTGGCAATCGTTGTTAGTGAGTCAAAGCTTTCGAAGTTCTGTTTGAATTTGAATTGAATCGAGTAAAATTTAGATGTAATGAAATGTAAGTATTATTTCATTTGTTTCGCTGTTTTTTACGTCACAATACTTTAGCATTTAATTTTTGTCAAGAGGTTAATGCGCTATGAATACGAAGCATTAGAAAGTAACATTGATATGTTTGATTTAATAGCCATTTAACCTTGAAATATATTTAAATTTTTCAATTATTTGTGTATACTGTTATTATTCAGAATTAAAGTTCTCCGTCATTGTATAAAATATTGGTATATAAATAATAATTTGTGAGTGGAGTTCCTTTTTAAAATAATTTGTTAATAATTAATTTTTCATTTTTTTTTTATCTTGCAGGGTTCCCTCCAAATCTACTAGAAAAAGTTCAAGACGATCTTCTGTAAGTATATCAATGTTTAAAAAATTTCTGACATGCAAATAATATCAATGTTGATTGTGTAATGTATTTATGCTATTTATTTTTATTAATGCTTTGTGTATATTCTGCCATGCATATTATACTAAATTTGTGTGGGTCCCACTAGCCATTTAATTCAAAATGCTCAAATTTAACAATAAGCTGTTCTTATTTTGAAACTTCAGATAATACCATTATTGTTTATTATACACATAGATACTTAAACCTCCCAAACCACGCCAACCTCTACAAAACTTAAACAGTTCATCTAAAGAAAGCAGTCCTGCTACAACAAAGATTAAAAGACGTGTCAGTTTTGCAGAGAAAAAGCATGTTAAGTGAGTTACTTGCTCCTTATGTATAAATTCTTTTCAATGAACTCCTGTCATGTAGTCAGTTCATTAATGCATAGTATGGAATTTATTGTACAGAGAATTTTGCAATTCCTTGGAGCAAGGAACTGTATGGGATAATACATATGAAGAACATGATTTGAGTAATTTTAAAATATCTACTAAAAATCAAGAAGAACATCAGGTTGCAAATTTTTGTAAAGAAACTATCTATAGTAGTACTCAAGAAAATAATGTGCAATTTACTTGCAATGAAGAAATTGAGAAAAATCTAAATATAGAAGATTGTAGTCAAAATATAAATTTAAATAAACATGTAAAGTGTCAGAATGAAATGTTACTATGTACACCACTGTCAGTTACATTTAATGATGGAAGTCCTCAGAAAGATTGTATTGTACAGAAGTTTCAGCAATTTAACAAACCTAATGTAGCAATGGTAGAAGTAAGAAATGAGGATACATCAATGGAACTAACTGTAGCTGTACCATCTGTTATTCAACCTGTTGATAATGTAGAAACAGCTACATGTTTTGTAGATGATAGAACTCAAAGATTTGATAATATTTCTATGGAAATAACTGCAGCAGTACCAAATGCATTATATCTTTTGCAGTCAAATATTAATAAAATAAATCATATTTCAAATTTAGTTGCAAATGATAATGATAATGACAATAAAATTATAATTTTTAATGATGTCTCAATGGATATCACTGAACTTGTGGAAAAAAGGGTTCATAAGTCATCTAATAGGACAACAGTAATGCAAGACATACTACAACATAAATGTGATACTGCAAACCAGGATGAAGAAACTAAATTATTAAATGTGTCTATGGAAATGACTGAAATGATTCCAGTTAATGTACATTCTGTAACTAGATCTTTTGAAACAAATGGACTGAATTATGATACCGCAAAGAATAATTCAAAAAAATTAAGATATGATACAGATGCTTATGAAACATCAATAAATCATGATGAGACTAGAATTTTTAATGATGAGGAAATGGAATTAACTACAGCTATAACAGCTTCATCTGAAGTACTCCAAACTGATCCCCGAATACCTGTAGAAAATACTCCTTACCTGCAATCAAAGCTTGATAGAACTAAAATCTGTAAGAATGAGGAAATGGAATTCACTACAGCTATAATAGCTTCATCTGAAGTACTCCAAACTGACTTACAAGTACCTGTAGAAAATACTGCTTACTTACAATCAAAGCATGATAGAACTAAAATCTGTAATAACGAGGAAATGGAATTTACTACAGCTATAACAGCTTCATCTGAAGTACTCCAAACTGATTCACGAATACCTGTAGAAAACACTCCTTACCTGCAATCAAAGCTTGATAGAACTAAAATCTGTAATAATGAGGAAATGGAATTTACTACAGCTATAACAGCTTCATCTGAAGTACTTCAACCTGACTCACAAGTACCTGTAGAAAATACTGCTTACTTACAATCAAAGCTTGATAGAACTAAAATCTGTAATAACGAGGAAATGGAATTTACTACAGCTATAACAGCTTCATCTGAAGTACTCCAACCTGACTCACAAGTACCTGTAGAAAATACTGCTTACTTACAATCAAAGCTTGATAGAACTAAAATCTGTAATAACGAGGAAATGGAATTTACTACAGCTATAACAGCTTCATCTGAAGTACTCCAAATTGACTCACAAGTACCTGTAGAAAATACTCCCTACTTACAACCAAATTTGGCTAATTCAGTATTAGAGATTTATAGAAATGGCAGTGCAAATTCAATATCAAACAGAACTACTATCTTTTGTAATAATTCAATGACAATGACAAAGGTGGTATCATTGCTTAATACAGAAGATGTCATGATAGATAATGCATCAGATAAAAATAATCAAGAATCCAGTAAAGCCATGTTATTTCCAAATACATCTACGGAAGTCACAGAAGCTGTGGTAACATCACAGCCTCATTCTCAAACAGATGACCCTATTGCAAATTCTACTAAATTTAGGCAATCAATATTGTCAAAAAGTTGTGAAAACAAAGATCTTGTTACTAACTCTTCAACTTATGCAGATAAAATTCTAAAAGATTCCTCTGTTGCAATTTCTCCTTCGTTAAATTTCGATAAAATTTCGGGCAAAGAAAATTATACAGTAACTAATTCTACAAAAAATATAGAAAACAGTCTTATAGAAGAATCTACTCCAGTTGAAGTTCAGAGTTCTGCCAGTCTTAAACCTAGCATAGCCTTGCATGAGTTAATGCAGCAACATACTTGTGTTTCAGCTTTAAAAGAAAATAACACAGAAAAAGCTTATGCCGTATTTAATTCCGCATCGAACGATTCATTTTCTGCTGTAAATTCGGAAATAAATAAAACTGAGTGCTTACAAAACGCAACATCAAGTTCAAGGCGTACATACATAATTCAACCATTAAATAATGATCAAACCCTTACAATCAGTAACAAGGAAAATAATAAAATTTCAGAAATGAATCATGAGACTCTATTTTGCACCTTAAATGATAAAGAAAGTAGCATATGTAATATTTCGAATAATCCATCCAATGTACAAAGTGGAGAAGATTGTGATGAAGAGCATGTAATGGAGAAATATGTTACATTTCACAATGAAGATTTAGAAGATATAGATTTAATTGAACCCCCAATGTTTGTTTGCTTGGATGATATATCAAGTGCAAGTACATCTATGAGTGTCACTTGTAATCAGGAAGTAGATATGGAAATGAATTGCCTTTCAAAGAATGAAAATACTAAATCTGAAGATTCTTCGAAATTCGATGTCAATTATAGCAATCATAATTTAGAGCAGGATAGTGAAGAAAATGTGCGTAAATCGGATATATTTGTAATTAAATGTTCTCGTCCGAATGAACAATTAGAGAAATCAAAACTTGAACAGGAAGATCAAGAGCAAACCAATAAAATTCAGAAGTTCAAGTTGCTAGATGTGAGAGATACTAACACAAAGATTCAAGTTTTGGAATGTTCATCTTCAATAATATGCGATAATGAAAAATTGATAACATCTAATGGTGAAAAAGATCCCAAGGATTTATGTAGAGATAACTCCAACTTAGAAAATCAAAATATGGAATGCTCATTATCAAATATAATACCTATTTATGAAAGCACTCCAAAAGTTGATACTGAAAATAACGACAAATTAATCAATATACATGTGATGGAAATAGATAATCAATTTTATTCTAATGAACAAATAAAATCAACTCTAGAATTCGATGCTGCTTGTACAGAAGAACATATTTCAAACGAACTAGATCCTTTTTCTTCTTTAATGAACGAGTTAAGAGTTTGTGCGAAAAGGTATATGAATCGATTCGAATAATATTCGTTATTACATCATTGAAGCCTGTATCCAATAATTCTTGCAACATTCTTTTTAGTGACGACATCATTTGGGAACTATACCATGAAAATATCGAGAGAAACGTGTTCGTAATCGGTTTTATATCGTGTTCACTGTTGGTAATAATATATGTACGAGATATTTGTGATGTAACAGGCGATCGGTATATTAAAGAAGTCAAAGTAACGTCTCGCTTAGCAGGTGAGTCCAGATGAAGGATTAACCGAGATATATTAATTTACAACGTTTAATGAAATTTATCTATGGGTGTACTTTGTATTAGACAACGCGGGCGAATTAATAGGTATAGTTCATCGGATAATTCTCGAAAAGGTAGACGTTAAACAATTGTTAAATCTGTACAAAAATCGTGAAGACATCTTGCCGATGTTGGATCACATCGCGAAAGAAGTAAAATTAGCCATGGACTTTATGTTCGACGTGAAACGTTTGAATAATATAAACTTGATGGAAATAACACGTGATAGGTAGAAAATGATTAAAATTACATCAATAGTTTTCATATTGGACACAGTATATATGTATATGTATATATATATATATATATGTATTTTTCTTTAATTCTAGTATATCTTTCGTATCGCGAACTAAAAGGATGGATATTATACTAAAGATTACGATATGTATTAAACCATTCGACAGGATTGAATCTCAAGATATCTCTGTCCATTGTATACTAGGTTCTGTAAGGTCAGTTGGAAAAAAAGATAAAAAAAGAAAACCCTACAAGATAATGTTAGAGATAGCATGTAACTGTTGTAATTAAACTGTATTACAGAGAAGAGGACGTTAAAATGTTGATAACGAATATAAAAAAGGACCATAAATTTCTGCGAAGGTATATGAACGACGTGAAAGACTACATATACCTGATGGAAGATTGCGGTGGCGTGATTGAAAAATCGAATTAGCGTATCTTCTGTGAAGGTGCGAGTATCAGAATCCATAATAATTAGGTGGGAGAGAAATGTAATTTTAAATGATCTTATTAATTGTATTATACGCTGATAATGTTTTATACGATTCAAACGCATAATAAAGTGTTTCATATTTTTCCTAACAATCTGTTGTTTATAAAAATTCTCCGCACCCTTTTTTCCCCATATGTATTCACATGGAAAAGTGCAGAAGCTTAAAGTTACGAGCAAAGGTGGATCAACTAGTTCTCCGATGCAGCCGGTTCAGTCGATGCAGCTTTTTGTGCAAGCATTTGTGCGGTCCTTTCGATACTATCGTGTGAACAGCCGCCTTTGGCAGAATTCTACGACTTTTCGCTTTATTTTTCGGAAGTGACCAGCAGTCGATAATTACAGTAACTCTAATAGACAGCCAAGTTACTAAATTGTACTTCAGATATTTCTTCGTCGATAAAAAAAAAAAGATTATCGTTACTTCAGTTAAAACTGAACTACAGCGAAGAGGAAAGGGTATCAATGAAGAAAATGATCGATGTAATGTTAGAATTTATGTCGATCATATTTTCGTTCATAAGGGAATATCAATTTTTACTCCAGCGTAATTATTATTTTTACAGGATTATCTTTTTTACATTTGAACGTTTATTAACGATAAAAGAAATTGAATGGTATTTTTATATGCCGTCTAGTCCTACTTTCGTCTTATAATACGTTATAAACACATAGCTCGTTAAAGAAGTTAAACTTTCTTTCACCGTAGCTACGCCAGTCCTACTTGCGTGGGCGTAAAGGCCCGGTTTTACGTGATTTCGTAACGGCGACAGACCGATTTCCAGTATCAAAAAGCATTTCATGAAGATCCAGCAGACCTTCGAGCCTCGCTCCCTCCTCATGCTCCTCGCCGTCTGTCCAGAACGCCTTGTGTACACAGACGAAGCATGGTCACAGACGGTGATCGCTTGTGAAATTGCTAGTGGTTATGCTAAACATCCAAAGAGTGGAAAACAAACTCCACCTTGACAATGGACATTAAATACAATACACTGTGAGATATATTAAATAAAATAGTCCTATGCCTTTCCTTTCTTTTACCTTAGAGCAGACTTGCCACTCTAATTTCTAACTTCATTAAATCACGCTTCTCGACAAAATAACTCTATCTCTACGATCTCATATTCTTAACATTTTAATTGCATAGAAATTCCGTAGACGCTGAGAATCTTGTTCACGCGTATATCGATGCGCGCGCACATTCGAAAATGCCGCGACAAGGTATATCGAAGTTCCTCAAAAGCATGCGCGATATCTCTGACCGGTTACTGCCAACTCCGAGCAATCGTCGTGTCCCGTAGAAGAAGAAAGACAGGGGGTTGACGTTTGGTAGTGTACGACGTCGACGAAGAACCGGCGCAATGGCAACCTGTGACGGTGACGTCGCCACGACGATACCTGCGCGCAGTACTATGAGAACGAGGCGGTACAGGCAGCGGGAGCAACAGCAACAGAGCAGCAGCGGTGCAAGTGGGCGTAAGAGCCGGGAGAGAGAACGTCGTCCCCGTGTTCCATACATGGCTATGCTATGTGGAAACCGAGAGACACAGAGAGACGGACGCACCGGCGGAGTCCCCACCGTGTGGACACGGCGGAGGCGACGTTTTCTCGGCACGAGTGCCCACCGAATGCCTCGTGCACAGTGTGTGCTAGCACGACGTCCTCGTACGATCGTTCTTCTTTCCGTTTATAATACATATTAAACCGAGCGATCTTCGTGAAATAGAAAGGGGTAGAGAGGGACAGAGGAGAGGATAGATCACGAAAGGAGAATCAAAGAGGGTGTGTAATCGCGCGGGAGAGAATCGAACGATTCGAAAACCGCGGTTCCAGATCGAAAGATGCAACCGCGAGCACGTCACTGGCGTGGGTGTTGCCGTTTCTCTTTTCGTCTATTTTGAATCGGTAACAGAGGAGACGCGGCAGACAGCGTGGTGGTTCAGAGGGAACACACGGTTTTTCAAAGTTCTTTAGCGGGTCCGCGCCTATGGCCGAGTGACAGCTCTCTCGGTTTGGCGAGCGTGTGCGATTGGTCCGCTCGTGCTTGCTTGCCTGCCTGCTTCTTACTCTCTTCGGCGTGTGTACGTGTGTTGCCTGCGTGCAACCAGGCAACGTGGGTTGGATGCGTGAGTGCGCCTGCGCGAGTGCTACGACGTACCAGCCGCGTGTGCGTGTGCCGCGCGTGAAGAGAAGCCGCAGGGGCCACAAAACCCGGATCAAAGAGACACACATTGCTATAGGTACGTGTACATGTGTATACAGGCGTACGAAACTTGGAGGTGGATGAAATCCTCAGCATCCCTCTTTTATCTTCGTCAAAGTAATAATAATAATTGGTGGAACACTTTTCACTCTAATACTTGTCATCTTTTTTCGAAGATTCTTATTCGTTCATTGACGAGGTAAAGATGAATTGAGAGAAAAAGTACTACAAACTTGATTAATTAAATAATACGTATCTACGATTAGAACATACTTCACTTCATTTTCACACTTTGGTCCATTGAAAAAAGGAGTATTTAACGATCGATCGTTCGTAACTTTTCCGTGATTCCGAGTAAGCTCTGTTTTGTATAAAAATTCTGTTACGAATCTGTAAATGTTAGAGAAGTTTGGGAAATTGGAGTACTCTGGTGGAATTCGATAGTGGGAATAACTGCGTGGCACATTCGAGTTTATAAAACGTTTTTTTTTTTTTTCACGATACTCCTCGCTATATCTGTCTCCTGTTTTTCGTCGATCGTTTTTAGCATCCCAAGAAGACGAAAACCAGTTTCACGTCCGGACACGGACGTTGGCGAATCGTGATACGAAAGAAAGAAGGAATCGCTCAATCGATGATCGTGCTTCTTCCACAGACGTCTCTCCCGGAAAGGTCACTGTCTTTCAACGATGTACACGCATACCCGCGAGTCCAGCGTGCTCGCCATTCGCGTCTCTCCCTTTTCCTTCGAATTTATTTCAAAAACTCCAGCTTTTCTGCCGTTCTGTCCGAACAGCGGTTGCCGAGCGTCGAGAGATTTTCATCGTGAAAAAAGGCTCGTTAAAAGTGCTGCAGCCTTGTCTCTTAATGCGCCAACATCCCACGTTTTACCTGGCGAGTTTCTGTCATTTCCATTCTCTTCCTCTCTTGGTGAAGGGTTCTCCTCTTGCGAGAGTTGCAAAATTTTTCCAACGATCTCTCCCAGTTTTAATAAATATCCTTCTTTTTTTTTCTTTCTTCGTTCTTTTTCTTCTTTTTTCATTTCAACGGTATAGCTTCATTTACTAGCTTCCTTCTCTTTCTGAAGACGCTCATGTTCTGCTTTCTCCGCAGCCAATAACCTGGTCCTCCTTCTGGCAAGCGGTGTTCGATTTTCGAACTTTGCGAACTGAGACATTATCTTCGGCTTCGGTGGCTCGTACTTCAACACCTCCTCTATAATTTCGCTCACCATCAACGGTTTGAACCTCAGCGTGATCCTTCTACGTAGATTCAGGACATTCTCGATCGCGTTGCTGATGAATTCCAACGGAATGCCCACGGACATCCTCGCCAGGCAGGAGACGTCGATGTTACGATCGATTCCATGGTACTTCATCAGCAGATCTTTGTAAAACATGTACAGCGTGTTGTAGTCCGTGAGAGGAATCATTATGAACTTGTCGTGGATCCTGACGAAGGGTCTTGTTGCTTTATATGGCTCCGAGGAGGTCGTGAGAAATAGCATCTGAAAAGTATCACGTTCTGATGTATCGAACGATCGGCAAAAACTCCATAAACTATCCTCCTTTACGCGAGAATAATCCTTTCGATTGATTATTGTTTTACGATCGATATATCGTTTCTAACGTTAATCTCTATATCGTAGGATAATCTCTACGTTGATCAATACCGCGATACGGAATTACAGACACACTAAATTTTACGTTAACTCAGTGCCTACACCTACGCACAAGTCGTTCGGTTGGAGGTGTTTCATTGATCGAGGCGTTTCGGAAAGAGAAAGAGGGGAAGCATACACGGTTGGGTTATTGAGGTGGTTCATTCATATCGGAGAAAGAGTCGAAACAGGAATATCAAGAATTTCATAAAGTGGGCGCTACCAGATCACCAACTTTAACATTCCTCGCCAGTTTAGGCGAGGCACCGTGTGTAAAGCCCTGTTCGGTTGCGAAACGCGAACGATTTTTCCCCTTGGACAACGACCGGTGAAATGGATTATGACATTTGAGAAACACCTACATCCCGCGTCGAGATTACTTTACGTTCAATTCACCTGATCACCGCGCTTGATGCTTTTCACCAGTTTCGGATAGTATTTGGCGAATCTCTTCGGCTTGTGGTATCTCTCCTGTGGTGGTACTTTCTTCAGCCACGGTTTTTCACCGTTGTCGATGAAAATCACCGACGGTGCATACACCCTGGCTATCCGCGAGATCATGTCGATCAATTTACGCTCGTTTCGCTTCCCGGTGTATTTGTCGATCAAAACGGTCGGCGTCATGTCGAACATCACTGCTCCAATCTGTTTCACAAAATTTCCCTATCAATGTTTCACGTTCGAGAAAAAGAAACGATCTTAGCGAGAGAGAAAAGGTGGAAACCTCGGAACAAATCGCGTTCACCAAGAAGCTCTTCCCATGTCTAGGGAAGCCACAGATGCAAACCGATCGAATTAAGGGCGCAATTTCGTGTATCTCCCTTGTACCTAGTGGAAGTACGCAATATTCCATGATCACTTGCTTGATCTCACCCATACGATGCTTGTAATCCCGATATTCGCGAGCTGCTTCGTAATTCTGATACGATAAATCTCCTATCCAATCGTTGATCGAAGTTTCGGGGTAACTTCTTATGATACTGGCTCTGACCAATTCTTTGAACATATCTTCCGTGGACATGTCGTCCAGTGGATCTTTCTTCTTCTTCTTCTTCCTCCCTTTTCCCTTCCTCTGCTCTGCACATGAAATTCAGAAACAATTCAACGATGCAAACAGGCCTTTCTCGAGTTGATGCCTACACGCCTACTGTCGCGACCATAAGAGGGTCAGTTTAACGTGTCGCAATGCTTATGTTAATGAGTGATTGTACCTTAATTGCCACCCTATATGCATCGAACCTTTTTCCTCCACCGTATATATTCACTCACTTTTCTCCTTCGGAATATCGAGCTTTCGCTTATCAGCCGCGTAGTCTTTCTTCAGTGCTCTGTTCAACGCCTTCAGCTCCAACCTCATCAATTCGTCCGTTATTTGCCTCATCTCCAGTTGAAGTTCGTAGCATAGTTTATCCTTGATCAGATCGTGATACACTTTCTCGTTACGATCGTTCGAATCGTCGCGAAAGCTCCAATCCTTCACGAAATCTCGATTGGCCTCGTCGAGGAGGGTATACGCCGTTGTTTCTGGCATCCACGGAGTTTTCTTCTTCTTAGGTTTAGCTTTCGCAGCGGCTGATTTTTTCTCTTTCGCGGATTTCTGCGCCAGAAACTGCTTAGGTGTTAGGGTCTCTCCTGTGGCAATTAACACGCTGCCGCCTAGATTTGCAGCTGGATACACGTCGAAATGTCCCACGTCGTTGTACCACACGATGAACCATTCTCGAATCTCGTCTGTGATGTCCTCCACCAAACCGGGTCCTCTAATTTTGAACAACTTGAAAACCAAATTTAACAGTTTTTTTCTTATTTTCGTTAAATATTCTACCCGGGTCAGAGATATTTTACGAATGAATAGATTACCCTGGTTCGCTCGTTTTCTGTCGCTTTCACGATTCGATCAGCGAACCTCGGCATCAACGTCAGCTTCCTCTGAAAATCTTCCCTGTCCTTGTCTAATATTTCGTTCGACTTCCAGCTCGGTATCGTCATACCAAGCAACTCTTCCTTAATTTCGATACGTTTCTTCATCCTCTTCTTCGCTTTGTATCTTCTCCAAGCGCGCTGTATCGTTTTGGCAGCGTTCATGTACACCTCTCTGTGCAACTTTTTCGGCACGATCTCTCCGCTTTCCAATTTCTTGTTGTAGTTGTACATACGCTGCACTGCGTTACGTTCGAATAGTTAACGACGATGAATGATATTTGTACGTCGATTAGTTTCACTCGTGAAATTTACACCTTCGGCTCCGGTACGGCGACCCATTCTCGCCCTTTCGTGACATTGAATGAGCAACATCGAGTTGTGAATAGCTTGTTCGGCAGCTTCACGAGCTTCCCGAGCCGCTATCTCTTCCGGTGTCTCCTGAAGAATCGCCGGTTGTTTGGTCTCCGAGGGCTCCTCTCTTACTCTTCTTCTTCGAAGTTTCGGCGAGCTTTCCCGAGATTCCATACTCTCCATGTCCACGTCCGCGGAAGGTTCTTCACTCTCGATGATCTCCGCTGAAATTGTTTGGTAATTCCATCAGGATTCAGAAAATACGCCGATAAAGGAAACCGAAATTCCGGAAATCGATTCTATCATTGGACGCGGCTGAAACCCGCAAGCCTCGATATAACAACTCATGTAACCCAAAGCGTGAAAGCTTGAAAACAGGGAAGATCGAATAACATTACGTTTAAAGGCATCCTCTATCAACTTCTGAATACGTTCTTTACGCTGTTGCACGACGTCTTTCCCAACAGCGGACACACAATTCTCTACATCGTCCGGTGTGTACTTGAACTGGTACATGAAGTCGTCAGGCCATCTGAACAGTTATCAATTAATCATCTCCGGAGGATGAGAAATTTGATCGGATTAAATCACGTACTGATAATCGTTGTAGTTCGTGTTAACAATCTCTTGTTTGTACTCCAGCATTCTACCGACCGTGCAATCCAGAACTCGTTTTATCAAGTCTCGTTTCTGCGTCTGTACCATTTGATCGTGGCAAACGATCAGCCTCTTCGCTAGATTGCGATACCTGAGGAAGCACAATCTATCGATTCTAACTATTGTTCTACCATTGTCTCGTAGATCAACACACCTAAGGTATATCGGAAGCAGTAGATTCAGTCCTTCCCCTTGGTCCGCCGTTTTTGGTTGCTGTTGCAGCTTCCGATCCAGCTGTATCAGCTTGTCCAAGTCGTTCCTCGTGATCAGCCATAGCTCGTTGTAATAAGTATCAGACATTGCTGTGAAATTTTCTCTAACGATAATTTTCCATTGTACGAATCTGTTACTTGTTCGTAACTGTAAATTTGCACGATGGTCGAAAGGTTGAAAATTTGGTTAGTCAAAGGTGGATCGACGATTCGACGCTCATTTTTCTTTCTTCACGCGTTCATACCGATCTGAATTGCACGTAAGAGTACGACGATTGTATTCCAGGATGCTGTGGACGTCTGGATGCTCGTTAATCGTGTTGTTGATAACGGTAGCGTCGTGCATGGACGCAAAGACGGACGATTTCATGGAAGATGGAACGATCACAGGAGTGATCTCCACTACCAGTTCGACACCGGTGGTGGTCACGACGATATCCGGCTTAAATAAAGTCGAGAAGATGCCGGTTAATTCGTCAAACGTTGTAAAAAGTCCGGACAATGAAAATATTCCAGACTCGTCCCACGCACCCTCGCCTTCGTCTGACACGGTTTGGGAGTGTCCAAATATTACAAAAGCGGGCGTCGAGTGCTCCTGCGACTTTCCACACACCTTGAGATGCACCGGCGATAGAACAGCTCTGCAGGTAATTTTTTATTCCTACACAAATCGTTTAATTTACTTCATCTATTAACCGTACATTTAGTATGTAGCGATTAAAAAAAATCATCGATAATTAAACGGTCGCGTGAAGTATAATTAAAAATGAATAAAAATGAAGAGAGATCCTCGTAGGAGACATCGTATACCTATCAAATTCATCGTAGACTTATTATTTTGCCATATTATCGAGGTCAGTGGTTTTTTAGCCTTCCGTGGGGCGAGCGTGGGTGTATAGACTGCCAATGAAATACAAGCCTCGTGTATTGTCCAAGGGACCATTGTAAGGCGGCCTCTCTTCTTGTCTCCTGTATATGCTCGCTGCTTTGCGTTGAATGTCCCGTTACCAGTTACACCGACGAATATCCTGTCTCACAATACCGCCGCGAATTAAACGATCCTCGTTATGCAATCCGGGATGACTAATTAAATTTGCTTGCAGATTAAATCGTTCGAACGATTCGCTGCTGATAGGAACTGCAATTGTTGTAAATCGGTTAATAAGTGACACGGTATTGAAACGTACTTTTCTTTTTTCTTCCAGGCCATCAGCGCGTACTTGAAATTCAGTCGTCCAGGGACGATCTCTTTGCTGGACGTAACCGTGACTGGGATCTCCTTATTGCCCGCGTGTTTCCTCGAGGATGTCGCTCTACATGGTCTCGTCGTTTCTACCGGGGAATTGAGATGCGTCCATAAGAACGCTTTTATCGGCCTCGTCAGACCTCTTCAGGCACTTGGACTACCGAATAATCTTCTAGATTCCGTTCCTACCGCTGCCTTGTCGCATTTGATCGGCCTAGAAAGATTAGATCTGTCTCAGAATCAGCTGGAAACGCTGGAAGCCGAATCTTTCAAGGTAGAACACGTTTCGTTCGCGAATTCTATTCAACATTGACGATATTATTTTATCAATCGTGTACGAGCCAGTTTAGTGTAAATATGGTTCGTATAGAGGTGTGTAAAGGGGTTGACGATTTATCAGATGCTATTTCTCAACACCTGCGGCAATAATTGATAGATATACTATGTATAGTTGGACTGTATCGAAATGACAAACTGGAAAGTCGTAATTCATTCCTATAGATAGCGATTAAACGTTTCAGGGCTTGTCGAACCTGACTTACTTGGACCTGTGCGACAATTTATTGTCGCAACTATCGCCTCAAGCGTTCACCGCGTTGCCTTCGTTGCGCTCTCTGAGGATGCGTGGTAATCGTTTGAGCGTGTCGGCATTGTCAGCGTTGAAAGGTCTGAAAAGTTTGGAAGAACTGGATCTATCGAACAATTTGTTACTGGGTTCCATGGGACCGAATCTTCTCCCTCAAATGCCAAGATTACGTTTCCTCACCGTGTCCGAAAATGAACTGGTGAACGTGCAGCAAGGAGCTCTCGTAGGATTGGCAAATCTAACTTATCTCAGCTTGAGCCACAATCAGGTAAGTCGTATCTGAGTCTCGCTAAGACTAAAAAAGGAATAAATAAAAATCGACATTTTTTTTCTTCACGTAGATCGACGTACTGGAGGATCATTCTTTCAAGTATTTGTCCAACCTCACCAGACTCGATTTGGCGAACAATCGTATCGTAGCCGTGTCCAGCTCTTCTCTGGCTCATTTGGAAAAATTAACTACACTGGACTTGACCCATAATTTCCTTCGATCTCTAACTGCGGACTTGGTGGTGCCGTTAAAAAGTCTTCAAGATCTACGTCTAGACGATAACGATATTACACTGGTAACCAGTGATGTTCCAACGTCGAAATTACGATTGAAAAGGCTCTCCTTGGCTGATAATCCTTTGAACTGTGACTGCACACTTCTCGAGTTCGCCAATTGGTTGAGCAATTCCAGTTTAAACGAGGAAGATAAATCGTCCGCCGTGTGCGCGACACCACCCGCTTTGGAGAACGGTATATTGACTCAGGTCTCTCCCGGTAGTCTCCTTTGCGGCGAGCCGACACCGCCAATCATGACCGGACTGCCCCTGGCCGATGCTCAATTAAAACTGAAAGAATTTCATTATGACAAATCGGCCGGTATCAACCTTTTATGGCACGTCGAGCTCTGCACGGAACGATACACCTGCAACTCTTTAATCGTTTACGAGACCATAGGCGACAGCGAGGTGCAAATTGACTCTAGGCCTTTACATTGTAATTCACGAATGATGAGGGATCCTTGTTTGCTTCCTGTTGCCATACCAGCCCAGGCCATAAGTATCGTTACTGCGTGACACTGTTGGTACCGATCAGCTATGACGACGTTTCCTTGGGTCTGGGTTGCAGTGACGTGATCACTCTTGAGGAGACCAAACGAGATCTCCAACAAGATCAAGAAACACCGTCGTCAGAGTCGTCAGCTTTAGACACCAGAATCACCGGTGTGCACGTTAACGTGTCCGATCAAGGATTCATGCATGTAGACGTTAGTCTTTCACCCTCGAAGAAGTCCAGTCTGCCGGAGTGTGAATTGTCCGTTGTCGTTTTCGACGCTGAATCAGCGGTGCACAGGCAAAAGTTAAACTGTAGCCTGACGTTCGTGACGTTGTCCGCTGTATTGTTGCCTGGCTGTTACAAAGTTTGCGCAAGTCTCGATGAACTGAACGAAGAAGACGTGATCGCGAATTACGCGGACAATCGGGATAGGCTGCGTTGCGTGGAAGTGCAAGGTTTTAAGCAGAACACAGAGATTATTGTTATGGCGATCATCGGGGCCAGTTGTGCTCTTTTGATCATGCTCGCGGCAATTGGTCGAAGCGTGGTGAAAAGGGTGAGGCACCCGAGGATACAGACTCAATGCTTTTTACCTGCACAGGAATTTGAGATAACTCATAAGGCGCATTACATCAAATTGCTGGCTACGACGAAGGTTTAATTCGTTATCGTCGATGTAATTTCTTTTTTTTTTGTCTTCTGACTTTGTAAATAATTATAATCGCTTATTGTTGTTGACTATTTAAAGTTTTCAGAGTCGATGCTGTCTCCGGTTAAGAAAGGAGGATGTTGTACTTACTTGATTTTATTTCGTAAGATCGTTTCTATGAACTCTACTAGTCATAAAATCGATAATTTTTAATAGTATTTTACACGAGTATTTGGTAGATCGTGGAGATCGATAAATAATTCAATTAAAATACGATGTGTACACGATCGGAGAAATTGTATAAGTGTGTTATTGCAACAGTCTTGTTGGTATTCGAAACACCTAATTTCTACACTGCCATCGTAATTTATTCGAGTCGATAGTAAAAAAAAAAAGTTGTATGTATAAAATTAACATTTTACATAAGGGAATATGATATATATAACAAAGCTAGTTCATACATCTTTATGCTGTTGATGAACTTCTATATTTATATCTATTGTATTGTGCGTTTTATCGCTCGATGTTTGCATATACGAAGATGTAAATATCTTTTATACGTTTGTAAGAAGTAAAATTGTTGTAACTTTTTTCACTGAATGCTTATATCTTGTAATATATTACTAATTTTATAATATGTCGCATCGTGTAAATAGTTTTTTAAAAACATACCATGTAAGAATAATAATCTACGTCGTCAATGTAAAATATTATGTAATAATAATTATTACCAGTTTCATTGAATGTTTGGTGTATTTTATTTATAATAATTTTCCCCCTATTCCTTAATCTTTAGCATCCATTGCGGCATATACATACATATTGAAGTAATATTACTTTATAAATATTTATTAATTTTATTGAGCAACTGTTAAACAACATTTTTTCAGAATTTATCTCGTTGCGATAACCTTGGATTAAGATATAAATTGAGGTTTACGACGCGAGAGGACGACCGTATCGCTTTTTATATTAATATAATCATCTACGCCTGATTTTGTAATTCAAAACATGTGCGTTAAAATTTTTCCTTTATTTTTAATCACGTTTAGCTCGTGACGGTATGTATACGTTTGTTCATTCAGTTTCATAATGTATCACTACATGAATACGAAAGTAATTTACTGTTCTTCTGGTGTAGTAATTAACGTCGTCCTGTTATCTTTTCAAGTCACTAATTGCTTCGAAAATGAATAAAACCGAGAAACTTCAATTGTTGCGCGATTCTATCATTTCTTATCCTGATTTTCCAAAGCCTGGTATCATATTTCGGTAAGTGACTACATTTCTTCGTTAGATTAATTGTATATTTATGTTTGGTTGAAGTTATAAACAATCTCAAGTCAGCATCATTTCAAGAATAGTAGTTTATTGACTAAAGATATTATATTTTGAAGTTTCTTTTTATTTTCAGGGATATATTTGGAGTGCTCCATAACATTATAGCATTGAAAGCAGTGAAAGATTTAATAGTGGAACATATTTTGTTCCTGGAAGTTGATTTGATTATAGGCATCGATTCGAGGGGTTTCCTTTTTGGACCCATGATATGCTTGGAATTAGGAAAACCTTTCCTGCCAATTAGGAAGAAAGGGAAACTTCCAGGAAAGGTGATACAACAATCGTATGATCTTGAGTATGGACAGGTTAGCACATCAAATAAAACTTTTAATTAATATGCAATTTTATGTTGATACCAACTTTAATGCTATTTAAACATTTTATTTATGCAGGATACCTTTGAATTACAAACAGAGTATATAAATAAAAATACACGGGTGCTCATTATAGATGATTTATTAGCAACAGGAGGTAAGAAAAATCTGGTTCTCTTCATCTTTTAAGAACCAAATTAACAAAATAAATTTGTTTGTTAACATCTGTAGGTTCCATGGCAGCTGCAGTAGAGCTAGTGAAATCAACTGAAGCTGAAGTAGTTGAATGTTTGGTAATAATTGAATTAACCGGATTAAAAGGAAGGGAAAAACTTGATGTACCTGTTCACTCATTTATTCAATATGATTAACGTTTATTTAAGGGTAATGTAAAAAACAATGTTATGCCATAAGTATACAATACAATATTATGTTATTGTAGTACATGTCTACAAAACAATGTTTTATTATTCTAAAATTCCATGTAAAAAGATATTTTATAATATTTACAATTTATAAGTGTTGTATTAAAGTTTTATAATAAATTCATATGAATGAACAGGATATTAAACATTGTATTCTGTTTTATGGCATTAAGAGCTTTAGTTTTATTGTCGCAAATATAACATAAAATAATCGTAACTATCATAATTGTAAATTAATATTAAATGGAAACTATTCTTGATTTTTCAGATCTTAAGGAAGTTAAAAGGTTTTGTACTTCATATTCTAATTTGTCTACATCTTGCCGCAATTGATCATAATGTTTTGTTTCATCATCTTTCGAACCTACGATGTCCTCGTCACTTGTAATATCTAAATTTAAATTTGGAACATCGTAAAATTCATCAGAAACACATTCACGTCTACTTTGCAATGTTTCTGACTGTTGTTCTGTTGCTTTTAATTTCCAGTTCACATCAAATAAGTGTTCTTTAAAACATCTTTGTGCTTCTAAAAGGAACAAATTTTATTTCGTATAATTTATACTCTATTGTAATTATTCAAGAATGACCAAGCTTTACCATTTAATCTTATTTGGTGGATTTGATCCATAAAAGATTTTGCTTCATGTTTCAATCTATTAGCCTCTGCAAGTTCCATAGCTTTACGATTATGTTCACGCATAATTCTTTCTTTTTCTTTTAATTTTTCCAATTCAAAGACAGAAATTTCGTCAGTTAAAAATTTTGGAAAATCGAGCACCAAATCTGGTGTATATGGTCCGTTGGGAGACAATGTAATTATTTCTTTTCTATAGCATGGGAAAGAATAATTTGTATACAATGTGTTGTATTCCATTTAACCAATTATTAAAAAAAAAAGTTTTACCTGAGATAGTGATTAGGATGTATTCTTAATGGTATATTGTCATCAAGTTGCTGAGCAACCTTTAATAATTCATGTGCTCCAATATGACCTTGTTTAGTAAAATATTTCTTAATATTTTCTTGAGTATCTAATGAAATTATAATTTCGCGAGAACAAATGCTGTATGCAACAACACTCATCAATAGGAGTGAAGGTTTTTTAAATGATATTAAATGGTCCCATAAAATTAACCACTCAGGGCCAGACAAGACTTCACTCATTGCAGTCTGTAATAATGGCCATGCATATTCACTGGATGTTATTCCTCGTTCACAAAAAACATTTAACAAAGTTGGATCTGTTTGTAGAAGAACATTTTCTATTATACCCAACACATTTAAGGGTGGTAAAGGATGATATTCAAACCACTTTTGACAATAGTTCAGTAATATACTTAAGATGAGTTCAAAGCCAAATAGAAGATCTTTCTACAATATGAATAAATTAGTTGGATCTTTTCAAGATACCTCCTATATTTCATTATAACATCAATCATTTAATTACCTGAAAGATCATAAGAAATGGAAAAACTAAATTTGGTAAAAATGAACATTGGACTAATAAAGGACACCATTGTATTAAACAACCAACTGTTGTCATCAATAACATCCTTTTACTTCTACTTGCTAGTGGACAGCTCTTCAAAATATCTAAAGTATAATTTGTATTTGCAGCTTCATTAGCCAATGCATTGTATGCACTTTTGTTGGCTGGCAACTTTAAGATAGTTGACCATATTAATACACGATATTTTTCGGGGTATTCTCCAAATTCTTTCAAAATAAGTATTAATCTTTCTAAACGCAATTCTTGCTTTATACCCTGTTTAACACATCGTAAATGATCATGTATTCCGTGTGCGAGTGGCCTACATGGTTCTTTTAATTTTTTTACAGTACCACACTTTTGTGAAAATATTTTTTCAGTAAATGTTAATTTTAAATGACCTTGTTTTTCTATGTATGCTACATATCTTCCAGTTGGAGAAACTACGATCTTTTTTATAGGTTCAATAGGCTGCAAAGTGTCAATCAAACAAGATTGGCTCAAATCAAAGAAGTGAAGATTGCAACTTGATGAAACACATGCTATTATGTTATTTGCTCCACCATCCAAGGGTGATGGTACAACTGACAAATATTTCACTCCAATAAAGTTTTCTGGCAAATTTAAATTTTTCATTAGATTCCAACTACATGTATTTAGAATGATAATTTTGTTCTGACTACTAGCTATGATCATTGCTCTTCCATTTTGTGTAAAAACAAAATCTCTAATATTTCGTACTCCATATATTTTTGTATCAATTTTAATATCATTTTCCAATTGATTGAAGTTCCATATTTGAAAATTATCATTGTAATATAGTACAACAATGTGCCCTAAGTTTGAAAAGCTTGCTTTCTTTACCACAACATTTTTTGTATTTACTTTTAATTGTTGAGCCGAAACATGTATTGGTGGTAGTTTATGAGCAATTAGCAAACAAAATTGTGAAATATTTACATTTACTCTTAAAATTTTTATGTCACTTGTAGTGAGACCAACTAATATTTCCAATTCATTTATAGGATTAAATGCCACGAATGTTGCTCGTCCGATATTTCCTAATTTTTGGTAGGAAGGACAACTATTTAATAAGTCGATGTAATATAAATATCCTGCTGTGTCGGTCGCAACAAAATGTTCTTCATTACAGTTAAATGCTACATGTGTAAAATTAATCCTTGAAATACACTGCGCTTTCTGAATTATTTCTGGTTCAAGCTCAAAACCCTCATTGATTTTTCTGAAATTATACCATTTTTTCCTATACATTATATTAACTTTTAAATACTAAAGAGTCCCATTCGAACATCTACGATTTCTTTAGGTTACGTTTACGTAGTGACGTGTCAAATCTGACATTGTTTATATCGATTAGATTTGAATTATTGAAAATTTTTACAAGCAAAAATGGATAAGGAAAATATTAAAAAAATTTTGCTATTTTCCAATCACGTTAGATTATTTAAAAATTATATTCATCAAATTAATTTATTTTTTAGTGATATGTATAAGATGGAACGTGTAGTAATTAAGTAATAATTATAATTGTGGATGATCTTTCTGGTGTAGAAAGTTAATTTGTATTTTTGAAATGTTCGTTCGCAACATATTATACAATCGAGAATTTTCTACTTTGCCGCCTTAATTTGAAAAACAATTTTCAACTACATATATCTTGTGTCATTAACTAGCAAGTGGAATAGGATCTAGACTGTTCGGATTCTGTGGTTATTTGGAGGAACGACCGCAGCTGATATCATATCAATTAGAAACTTCTAAACATTGATCTCTCTGCCGACAAATAAAAATATTTCGGTTGCTTTTTACCGGGATATGTCAGACTCCTACAAAATGGTGAGACGTATTTCTTATTCGTATTATACAATAATTATTTTTCATGACGGATTATTTATATTTTAGGTTATATACAACTTATATTGAAATGTTACGAAAGAAAATAATCATCCTTCAAATACCTTAAATAGTTTTCCAATTACAAAAAGAAATTATTTTTCGTTTGCCCTTGAAACAATTATTTCATTTTTCGACAAGCGAAATGATCTTTCGATGTTTCGTTTTTGGGACATAAATAATAGATAATAAGAAATGTGTGTAAATTGTAGATATTTCTTTGAATTTACATCACTTTGTTGAGAAAATAATGATTTTAAATTGATTAGGTTGTAAATTCTCAAATTTAACTTGAAATTTATCAGTGTTCATATTTTTGTAAATATAGCTGTTGTATTTGAGCTTTTGTAATGTAATTGTGATCTATTTGATTTTATTTTGTAGTTTGTAGCTGAATTCTTAAAAGGTTTGCCTTCACACAATGAAAATAATTTTGCTAACTTCCATACGGATAGTGGTAACAGGACTTGTGTTAAAAAGCCTTCAGTTTATCTTCCCACAAAAGATTATCCTTCTGAGCAAAGTAAGTTATAATCTGATTTTGTGTTTGTACAATAATTATATAAAGATTAACAATTTTGCATGTAATTATTTGGTCAGTTATAGTCACAGAGAAAACAACCATATTGTTAAGGTACCTGCATCAGCAATGGTAATCATGATTTCCAGCATGCTGATAGAAAACGAGATTTTTTATCTGCTAATGGTGATTCTGAAGATGATGCTGCTACAGTACACAGCAAAAGGCCACGTCTTGATTTGAACAACACCATTTAAAATACACTTCACAGTTATAATTTCCATTATCTACTAAACTACATTTCCATTATCTACTAAACTAATTTCCATTGTCTACTAAAATACGCGATTCTTAATTACAAACATATCTACACCTTAGAAAAATGATTTCGAAACGTTACTTTTCGATTTTAATCGCATAATTTTGGTTATATGTTTTATGGAACATTCATTTTAAAAAGTATAAAAAGAACGTTTTTAAATAGTATTTCTTTAGATATGTAAAGTGATTGTAATAAAAACAAGAATGAGTATTGCGTTAATTTTATGCGCGCCTTTTTGTACTGTATGTATGATCGAAATTCATTTGAAGAACGTATCTAGCACATCAAATAATATATTGCTCTATATTGCACAATATGTATAAGTGAACGTGTTCATCGTTATTTCATTTGCGATTATTTTGTTATTACTGTATGGTTACTGATAAAAAGTAAGGATGTAATTGAAGGAACATACGTGCATTATAATTCTCTAAACAAATGCTGATGTTTTAGTTTAAGATATATGTCAAAGCATTTATCGTAAAATAATTTTGTAAATTGATTTTACAATGCACAGTTCAGATCTGTATTGCAAACCTAGTAATAAGTTTTTAATATATGTCTAATTTACAAAAAACAATTATATGCAATATGTTTTATTATTTTAAGAAATTCGATTTAATTAGTTAATTCTTGTGTTGTAGCATGATCAAAATGTAGAGAAAAGTTTAGTCAAATAAAGGCATTGATAACACTTACGTATACATTAACGTTCGTGAACACATGTTATCAATAATCTATTTGACGAAAACAAATATTAATGCTACCCCAAAGAATTAATTCATATTTTTGATAATAGTATTTTAATTTCTAAACTAAAAATAAAGTAAAACAAAATAAAAACTTAATGGAAAAGAAAATGGTATCTTTATTTATTTATTTAGTTTGTTTTTAACACAAAAGACCTTTATCCAATAATCTGCTTAAATCTATTAACATGCGTGACACACTTGAAACCAACGTTTTATTCGCCGATAAAAGCTGCATTCACAATTAAAAGTAAGGGACTGAAGAAATCAATTACGAAATGCAAGGATAGCAACGTAGAAACGAGATAGACAAGGAAAGGAATAGGGGTAGACAAGGATACCAATAGAGAAACGAGTTAGACAAGGAGAGTAATAGGGATGGACAAGGATAGAAACAAAAATGGCGGGCGAAACTGGCACCATCTAGCGTTTGGTGACTCGAACTACGATTTTTTAATAGGAAAACAGGATATAAACAGAGGTATTAGACAAGGAACGCACTAGTGTGCGACAAGGACAGAGAGAAAACGTTTCCCATTGGCTGGTGGGCACCTAAGCTCCACCAATCACTAACTACATCAAGTCGGTCAGGGAAAAATGATTAATAACTCAATAATTAGGACGATTTCGTGAACTTTTAGGATTGAGGAATGAAGAGTGGACCTTCAGCAACTTTCACATATACTTTTTAGTGCGCTAGACCCCTTCAATAATTAGTAATTAACAATTTTAGTACGGGATGTCGGGAGCGATACCGTATACCATCAAGCATCTTTACGGTTTTTCGATAATTTCATAGCTTTCTACTAAATTCTCGTACAAGTAATTATATGAGTCCGAAAGATAATTCCTTTAGCTACATTCTTCTATAATTTCTATTAATATCTTCTTTCTGGTTTGCTAGTTATTAAATATTCTTTGGGTAAGTATTACAGGAGTCGTATTCAAGCGTTACACATTTTCGTTATTTCAATCGAAATGCGTAACAAATTATGGACTTTTAAGCATGTAGAATGTAGAATGGACTTTTCTTTATATTCTGTAAGTAGTTTGCTGTACGTACGTGGTGTGGTTTATTAGATATTAACAATTGTTCAGAACAGTTGACTATGCACGAGTACGATGTATAGCGAACACTCTCAAATAATATTTAATAACTCCTAAACTAAACGGAATATGTGAATAAAAATTATATGGGAATATAGCAAAAGGAATTGCCTTTCAGATTCGTATACTTAATTGCACGGGAATTTAGTAGAAAGATATGAAATTATTGAAAAACCGTAAAGATAGTTGACGGTATGCGGTATCGCTCCCGACATCACGTACTAAAATTATTAATAACTAATTATTGAGAGGGTCTAGAGAACTAAAAAGTATATCTATGAAATTATTGAAAAACCGTAAAGATAGTTGACGGTATACGGTATCGCTCTCGACATCACGTACTAAAATTATTAATAACTAATTATTGAGAGGATCTAGAGAACTAAAAAGTATATGTGAAAGTTGCTGAATGTTCACTCTTCATTCTTCAATTCTAAAAGTTCACAGAATCATCGTAAATAATGAGTTATTAATTATTTTTCACCGGCCGACTTGATTGAGGCCCTGGAAGAACGAGTCTACCGGCCCGTTAGCCAATAGGAAACGTTCTCTCTCTATCCTTGTCGCACACTAGTGCGTTCCTTGTCTAATACCTCTGTGTATATTCTGTTTTCTTATTGAAAAATCGTAGTTCGCGCCACCAACCGCGAGATGGCGCTACTTTGTCAATTTCTGTACTAACTATTCCTGTCCTTGTCCCTCACTGTTCCTTTCCTTGTTTAACTCGTTTCTTTAGCGTTATCCTTGTCTCCCACTGTTCCTTTCCTTGTCTAACTCATTTATTTAGTGCTATCCTTGTTTTTTGCAGTTTCTATCTTTGTGTATCTCCTAGCTATTAGCCATTCTAGTTTGTCGTTATTTCTTTCCTTGTCTAACACTAGTAAACAGTCGGTAGTTCGCGCGCCCGAACACGAGATGGCGATAGTGTGTCAATTTCTGTCTTAACTATATCTATCCTTCTCTAAAACCTATATCTTTCCTTGTCTAACTCGTTTCTTTAACGTTACCCTTGTCTCCCACTATCCCTTATCTCCTCTAATTCGCAAAAAAATTTCTATCACCTACATTCGGGGTACTGAATAATACAGAAACTAGTATTACCCCCAACGATCGCTTGTTAACCGTATTTTACGTTTTCAGAACAATTTCAATCATCCTCGCGAATAACAACAAATTCACGAAGACAATATTTCGATGAAAAAAGAAAAAATAACGTCGTTCAGGATAAATCTACGCGTGTTCTGTTCTACCGACGAACTCGGTCGGTATAACAAGGGAACAAAGGAATCGACGAACGGAGTGTACGTGCGTCGTTCACTTCGCAGTGTAATAGCTCGTTTTCACAAACGGCATTTTCGTCACAGTCGCTTTGTACGTTTTTCCACGAACTTCGACCAAAATTCCACCGCCACACTGAGCCAGCTCAGCCGGTACGTATCCCATAGCGATTGATCGACCGAGGGTTGGACTCGGTCCACCGGAAGTCACTTTACCGACGCGTTCACCCTCTGGAGTTAATATGCACGCACCTTCTCTAGCTGGCGGACCGTGTGCGATTGACAATCCTATTCGTTTCATACCTGGCCCGGTTTTGATCTGTGAAACTATTCTTTGACTACCTGGAAAATTTCTTTCTGCTCTTCTTCTTTTAGCTAAGTTTAAAAACAAAAAACTTTCTGTGAATTTCGCTGTCATCCTGAACGTGTTAATTACATTTTTATTTTTCTCCTTTCTGTAACCATCGATATTTTCTCTGCCCTACGTTATTTTCTGTACAAATAGGTGCACACCCGTTGGAATAAACGAATAAATAATTGAAAATTTATTAATAATATTTTATGCGCATTTTTCTTTTCTTTTTCTTAACTTACCTACTAGCCAAGTAAGTCCAGCTTCAACTGGAGTAGTTACGTCGTCTATGTCTTGTCCATAGAGGCAGAGACCAGCTTCTAGCCTAAGAGAATTACAAATGAAACGTTCATTTCAGACGAATCGTGCGATGTTTGGAAAAGTTACCTTAAACTATCCCTGGCACCTAAACCTGCTAATTTCGTATCAGGTGTGTTCAGTATCATATCTACCACGTTACGTGCAATTCTTTCTGGCATCGAGATCTCGAAACCATCCTCTCCTGTGTATCCACAACGAGACACTCTGATTTCAGTTTCTAATACTTCAGTTTCCACGCTGTTCATGAACTTGAGGTTCTTCAAGTCGATCTTAACTATCGACTGAAGAACAGACGCTGCTTTCGGTCCTTGTAAGGCGACCAGAGACTGCTCCAGAGGATCTAGGCTCTCCAAGTTCACCGATTTTCCCTGGGATTTGAAGTTATCCTGAAATTCAGAATTATAACGAGCACAGATTCTGATTATTATGAAAAGTTTCTATGAAAATTGTGTATTCTATGGGAAAAATATCCTAAAATTAAAAATCAGAGACACAGATTCTGATTTTTATGAAAAATGATCTGGAAATTTAAAATGCTAGCGAACACAGATTTTAATTTCTACGAAATATCAATCTTTTAATATTTACCTGTTGTCGACGAAGCAACCGAGTGTCCTCGTCTCTTCTTCCAGCGTTAGACACCACGAAATATTTATCCTCGTCGACTTTTGTGATTATCAGATCGTCGAGAATACCTCCGTTCTCGTTTGTGAACACCGTCAGAGCAGCAGAACCCTTGTTCAAATTTCTAAGATCACCGGTGGTCAGAGATTCGAGAAAATCGGTCGAGTCTCTTCCAGAAACGTACGTCTGCATCATGTGGCCAACATCGAAGAGGGATGCGAAGGTTCTTGTGTGTTGATGAGATGCAGCAATCGCCTCTTGGTATTGTACTGGCAGCAACCAGCCGGAAAAATTCACAATTTTCCCTGAAAGAATGATATTGATTCTGTAAGGATTTCATTCGGTTGAAATCTCTCCATTTCTCTCACAATACTCACACTTCTCATTCTCGACTCTCAACTATGTTTATCCTCACACCTCAAATTTTCTCTTTTCCTAATACTCTATTCCTTTCACTGTAAGTATAGGCATTTTTAATCGATATTTAATCACGTCCACGCTACGCAGCTTTCAACTGTGTTTATCATCACACCTTCATTTATCCTCACACGTCTAATTTTCTCTTTGGAAAGACATTCAGTTACGCCCAGAAAAATCTTTGTCTGATCGTGCATCTTCTCTCTCTGTCCACACAATATTCTCTCAGGTATTTAAAGAACTTCTGTTTTCAAACCTATCACTTCATTCTCACACACCTCTATTCGCTCTATAAACTTCAAGACGCATCTCTCTTTTTGTTCATTACTGACAGACATACACTTAAACACTCGCAGACATTTTGAAGGGATTGGAAGAAACTGATAAACGAGAGTATAGACGAGAAAGGAAAGGTTGTGAGAAAAGCATTTCGTCGTCCATTCTAGAGGTCTTGTCGGTAAGACTTTCTAGGAGACTCGTGAAGACAGTAAGACTAATTTCAGAAGTTCTATATATACAAACGTGACCCTTTAGCGAGCACTAGCGAGAATACACAGTCACTCCGTCCCTCTGGTGGCAGAGCATAGGAGTTGTAGCTACAATTCTATACACTCTCGCAATTCCTACTTTATTTAGCCACTTCAAAAATAATAAAAAAAAAAAGAATCGTAACTATTTTCTTGAAAAATTTACCTCGATTTTCCTCGTGAAGATCGTACAGGCAGGTTTTCCTTGGCTGCGTCGCCGTCGTCGACGATGAACGTCGGCCTTCGCTTCTCTTTGACCGTGTTACAGAATCGATCAAACATCTTGAGCGTGACTTTGGTAGAACGTGTTTCGAGTTCACGTGAAATATACCGGACGATTCGCGAATGTTACCCAACGATTCACCACATTTCTCCAAACAGGCGAATCTTCTGCGGATACCGAAACGAAACATCGTGCTTCCCCCGTACCGATTCCTTCTACACTGAGAGAGCGAAGAATGCCGGCTGAACCATGGTCAAGTCCCTCTTCACGATGACCCCGTTGACATGCGGCATCTTTCAGACTCGGATTCAGTATCGAAAATCGGTCGCTGCTTTTGTGACGCAAATACCATTTTACCCGTTTTCATTCGATACCGCGTGATTCAGAGTGTGTCCGTTGTTACTTCGGAGCCTTTATCTTTCTGGCGATTCGATAAACAACGCGGTTCTATTTTGTGCAGTGTGTCGCAGTGTGTGAAACGGATTTCTCCCTTTTTTCTCGCGGACCCGTAGTGTCAACCTGGAAAGTTCGCGCCGAAATCGAAAGATCATCGAATGAAAATCCAAGAGCAATGGTCTTACCAAAGAAAAAAAAATCGTGGAACGAGAAGACACTTACGTTCTCTTCTTATCAAGTTTCAAGGCTCGTTGGAAATATTTCGCGACCGCCTAGTGTTAATTAGGTCATTCCACAAGTTCGTGCCGAAAGCCCAAAATAATCGAATGAAGATCCAAGAGTAACGGTCTCACCAAAAAAAAATTGTAGAACAAGAAGACTCTTACGTTCTTTTCTTGTCAAATTTCAAGGTTCATCGGAGATATCGATTGGAACAATAAAATTCTGCAAGAACCCGTGGAACGACCTGCTATTTCTCGTGCTCCAAATAGACAAGTACCAGTACGAATACAAATAGCGTCGCTCCCAATTCTCCGGAGAAGAACTCTGTGTAAAAATTAGATCGATCTTTCACAAAGTGAACAATTCATCTTGCAATTTCTTTGTTCATCCGTCTTAAACGAACGTCACCCGGACCGATTTCGGTATCGTCGCGCGTCGCGGTGTCGCAACGTACATAACATAGAACCCGATAAAGGAAAGAGCCTCGCGAGATAAAACGATATTTTCTCTCGTACGATACATGCCGTGAATAGTTCATGTAAATAGATATCATTATTTTCGCGCGTAAGAGAGGTCAGCATATGACGTTCCTTTAGTCGGAACAGATAAGACAACGTATAGAAACATCAGTCTCCTCTTAAATCTTCTTTATCGCCTGTCTATTGGGGGAGAGAGAGGTGATAATAGTCACGAGACTTATCATGCACGTCGGATGCTTATTAAATTTTTATTGTACCACGTAATAATAATAATAATAATCATCATCATCATCATCATAATAATAATAATAGTAATATTAATAATAATCATAATAATAATAATAATAATGATAATAACGATATCGCCTAATGCTCAGGCTAGTGCTAACACTAGTGAAAAAAAGGATACGAAAACGGAAAATATAAATGGAACACAGAGGAGAGCAATATGGAATAAAAAGAAGAAGAAGAAGAAGAAGAAGAA